GAGCTGAGAAGGAAAAGATCATTTGCATAAAATGGATAAGGCTTTAGTGTCACTAAAATATTGACGACTTAGAAATGACTTTTGGTTTCTAATCTTGAACAAGAATTAGGCTGATTTTAATTATCTTTTCCCCACAACCTAAATCCTAAAATTCTAGAATATTAATCTCTTGAGGATGTGTTTTAGAACATGGTATCTAAGTTCCAATTTTCTTTTCTTGTTAACACAACAGAAGTATCTCAAATATTTTCAGGGCCAGGTAACAAAGAAAAAGAAACCCAAGCCTCATTTCTCTTAAAAGTTTTTGCATTGTACTGATGTAATCTTAGGCTCTTTCCTGTTCTAAATCTCAGATAAAAGACTGTATGACAAGGCCGGGCGTGGTGGCTCACACCTGTAATCCCAACACTTTGAGGCCAAGGTGGATCACCTGAGGTCAGGGGTTCGAGACCAGCCTGGCCAACATGGTGAAACCCCATCTTTACTAAAAATATAAAAATTAGCCGGGCGCAATGGCACATGCCTGTAATCCCAACTACTTGGGAAGCTGAGGCAGGAGAACCGTTTGAACCAGGGAGGCAGAGGTTGCCGTGGGACGAGACTACGCCACTGCACTCCAGCCTGGGGAACAGAGGAAGATTGGATCTCAAAAACAACAACAAAAACCATATGACAGTTATGCACACATATTCCCTGAAATATGTTAATATACATTTAATTAGTAACATGCAACTATATTAATGGATTACAACCTGAAGAAAAAATTACTTTTATAAGTTAATTCCCAAAATTACAAATCTTAATTGTTTGAAGGATATACAGGAAGGCTTAACAGGATATACATTCATACACACTCATGCAATTTATCCTTACATCAACATTTTATATTCACAATTTCACCTTTAATTCCCTTTTTACACAATACATCTCCCCCGTCCTCAAACAGCTGAACCTAGAATCAACTGTTTAAAACACATCGAGTTAAGTTAAAATGTGGAAAAATAAGTTTTTACTATACTATGCAAATAAGAAAACACTCGTTTTAAGAAATAAATGATGTTCAACAACAAAACTGTACTAATGTGTAAGCTAAGGAAAAAAAACCAACCAACCAAAACAAAACCTCAAACTAAAAACAAGGGAAAAAACCCCCAAAAACATAAGGCTTATCTAGATCCAAATGGGGTAAGAGGGAAAAAGAAAACTCATTTCCTTTCATTAAAAATCAGAGTGCAACATCTATAGTTAAACAACTTTATTAACATAGTCAAGCAGTGATTAACATTCACATCTATTATGTCACATCATACAAATGTAAATACAAAATTACTACAGTACAATATATATTCTCTGCATGATCCAAAATATTTGGTGGCCCCAAAAAACTCTCTTTAAAATTCAGCAGCTTATCAAAAATTAAAACCGTATTCTATTTAAAATGGAGATCTGTTAGCACAGAGTTAGACTTCAAGAAATATCAATTTAGTACAGTTTGAGAAGTTGCAGGAGGATATGTTTGAAGGACACATTCTAACATAGTGTGGCAGGTACACGAAACATCAGATTTAAAGCTTTTAAGCGTAACTCATACAACCTAAGTTGTCAGCAGAAAGATCCAGTTATTTATAACTAAAGCTAATGCTACTAAATTATTGCACCCAATGTTAACATATTAAGTGTAAAACTGTTTTGTAATATGAAGTCATTTACCACGTTTAAACATCTCTTCTCACAAGATGATAATCTATTAAGTAAAACTAATCATACAGTATTATCTAATTATTGTCTCCATAAAAATCACCCAAGCTCAATTTGCTTATATATCCATAAAGGAAAACAACAACAAAGTAGTATGCGGAAAGTACGGTGGAACCCCTTTATGAGGCCGACATTAGAAGGGGACCAACACTGCCTTATAGGCTAACCATATTATAATAGGCTTTCAGAAAGATGTAAGACCTGCGAAATAGCTAATCTTGAATAATACCAAGCCACAGTATAAGGAAATTCTATGGTAGATAAACAAAAATTGCAATGAAAAGAAAAACTGCTTTTCTTATTAGTGATAACACTGCTTGGCAAATAGATTTGGCTTGGTTTTAAAATGTACAAGAGGTGAAAAAAAATCACCATTTTAACTTCTTTCAAAGTCATGCATACATTCAGCTATTATGCATCTTTTAAAAAACAAAATACATTCTGGAATACAAACCACAATGAACAATTGTGTAATTTAAATGTGTACCTTTAAAATTAATATGTATAATAACTAGGCATAAAGAATTATCTACGTAAATAATGCTAATGGGTGAAAGATCTACGTAAGAATGAAAAAATTAGTCACAACTCACCTGGAAAGCCTAAAGGTGAATAAAACTAACTTTTATGTAAAATTTAATTTTAGAGAGGCATTAGAAGTATCTCCACATTTAATACAGTATAAAATGCACTACGTTGGTATACAATGCTATATTGCATGGTATTATTACCAGATAATATTAACAACACAGCTCATTATTGATCTGACCTTTCATTTAGATTATCCCAGGCCCATAACTATCTGAAGACCAGTTTTCTTAAAGGTTCCAAGGCCTACACTTCATTAACAATACTAGTACCAACAGTTAGTTTCCCCGCCTTGTATTATTTGCAAAAATAATTCAGTAAGCAAAGCTGTGTGTGTTTTAAAGTACTATCAAAGGAAGGACTTAAATTGCAGTTATGCATGATACACTCTTCCCCTGGGAAGAATGCTTTTGCACCATTATCTGTTAATACATTCAATATGAATAATATAGATTAACCATATGAAGCAAAAAAACACTTTTTCCTCATGGCAAAGGACTTAAATTTAGACTAAAGAGTTTAAGATGTAATTAATTTATTTCTGGCTTTTCTGCTAGGTAGAATAATTTTATATAGGGGAGAAAAATGTCCACTTTCCTATTTGAGAGTCTGAAGAAAATGAGGACCAAATGTAGCTCATTTTCAGTTAAACCTGCACGCAGGCGGCTTGTCAGGAGGGCTTTATACCACCCCAGTCTGCTAGAATATTAGGAAAAAAATCAGACTAAATGGAAAGAGTCTCAATGAAATACACTAAAAAACAAAGAATGTAAGTAGGATGACCCTTTATAAGCATGTCACCAAAGCAAAAACAATACAAGAGTATTCACCTGAGATAAAACTTGTATCTGAATATTTTATAACTGAGTAGACAAAGCATTTCAAGAGGAAAGTCCATTGAAATTAGTTTAAAATATACATCTGATCCTATTTTACAATATATGCAATTTAAGCAATTCAGATGAAAAAGTCTTAACCAAAAAAATCACAGTGTTTATCAATATGTTAATTACAAAATGTATGCTACTTGTTTTGTTTTTAAGATGTAATGGCTTGGTTAAGTGTTTTAAAATCTATTCTTCTGAAATCTAACTTGCGTAACAAAATCAAGTAGCAATAATGTAAAGCATCAGAACTGGCTCTTAAAAGATTATTTACATGTTGATTATTTGGGAAATAACCAACCAAAAAATATAAAAAAGTGATTTTTTTTTCTAACACAGTATGAAGTCATTGAAGAGATCAGACAATACAAAAAGCAAAATTCTTTCCTGAATAAATGAATACCTGTGTCACTAAGTTCACTCACTAATGGACTGTAACATGGAACTGCCAAACATGCATTTAAGTTATATTAATTACACTTTCTGTTTCCAACTTAGGTTGATCAGCAGCTTTGTTCTGTTAGAATCCTTCAAAGAGAGAAGCTCAAACAGGAAAAAGAAGGCATATATAAAACAGTAAACACTGACCTCCTGAGGTTCCTACAACATAAAAATATTCAAGTAGAAAATCTACATCACTTAGCAGCGGCTATTTCTGTAGTTAAGCACACTAACAGCGTTTTAGTGTGTAAGGAGCAGATGAAGTAAGCCGTGCTTTAAGCATGCCAAGAGGCAGAAACACTGGAATGTAACAAAGACAAACTCACAATTTCATAGACATTCAGTCAACATTCAAAACTATTAAGACTACACCACAAGAATTAAGTTGCTTTATATATATCCCATGATGTATTAGGTTTTATCAGAATAAATGCTAAATCAGAGCTTACCTCAAAAGATAACTTAAATGGCTTCTGCAAATTCCTGTTCTACACTATGTATCTGAAATATAAATTAGGAAGAAACAATAACCTCAAGGGGAAAAATACAGAAAAAATCCCAATACAAATTTAGGTTGCCAGTCATATTTACCTATTTTTATTATTTTCAAATTAAATTTCATTTAAATTAAAAAAATGTCAAGTGACTACAAAGCTGGGTGCATTTTTAATAGTGTTACTCATCTGCCTAATTGGAAACTAATTTTTAACCAGACAGGTGACAATATTGCCTTTAGTCAGTACAGAATTGTCAACCACAAGTTCAAAAAACTTTACTGAAGATTGTTTTTATGTGTTTTAAATTGAATTTGGTCATTTCAATTTAAAATATTATCTATTCCAGAATACTAAACTAGCTCTCATATTATTCTAAGTATTTGAAACACTACAGAATATCACTATAATCTAAGAATAAAACAGCTACTCTACTCAGTTACTAAAGACTAACAGGGAAGAAAATTTTGAGTCCCCAGTGAAGCAATGGTACTAGAAAGCAAAATGCTGTATACCCTCTGAATCCAACTTACAATTTTAAAAATATTAGGCACTATAAAATAATTTAATTTCAGGCTCTACAGACTGAAATTTGCAAAGCCAAAGTAGAGGAAAGGTGAAAGAACGTGTTAAAACAAAACAAAACAAAACAAAACAAAAAAATACACACACACACACATAATAACAAAAACCTTTCTGCATGCTACCATGCATTTGAAATTTTTGAAACAGTATAAATTCACACGCACACAGCTCAAACTTCAGTGCAATGGCTGTATCATTCAACACTTTTAGAGAATAGAACCATGCAAAGAGGAGCAACTGCTTATAAAAATGGTTACTCAGTATTTATTCTGCAATGCGAAGGTGACAAACTAAAATATAAAAAGGCTGTTATGGCTTAACATTTTTGTTGCAGATTAAATATGCAGCATTGAAAAATGGAAAGGCGTGGCTTCATCTCTGACCAGCAGAGTTAAAAAGAAAAATCTCTCCATTTTCCTTCATCATGGGATACACTGTTCAGGCAATCCAAATTAATAAAGACTTGCACTTTCATATGAACACAAGATCAAGTGTACCAGTTAGGTTTTCACATTCACAGTATATAAGAAAATACACATGGAAGGAAAAGTAAAGGGTTAACTTAACAAGGATTTATTCACAGGAATACATGTAAGTAGAGAAAAATAACAGAAAAGCTAAACAAATGAAATGAAGAGGATCCAAACCAACTTTCACTCTGTAGCTTTTAACTTGCACCCTGTGTGCATATATCTAGGGCACAGAGGGCCACCAACATGCGCCAAAATACAGTGTAGGAACCCTGCATTACATCCATTAACTTAAACATATCTTTAAGATCATGCTTTGAACAAAAAAGGGAAGCTTAGAAGGCAGTATGTTGAGTGGGAATAAACATTGAAATATAGCAATCATTTTTCAACTTCTACAATTGTCTTTATGTGCCAACTAACATTTATGCAGCCTTTTACAGATCTTTTACCATGTAATTTAAATTTTAGGAGTTTTGATAAAATCACTAGTAGTATATAACCATGCAGAAAGCACATCACACTGACAGCACAGAGGCAAAGATTTTGCACAGGTATATCAGCTTTCCACATTGTGCAGGTTACACACGATACAATATCAATCTTATCCTAACAGATCCTAAAAAAGATATTTCAAGGCCTACCTGTAACTACAGTACTTTATATATCTATATTCTTAATAAAAAATAAAATCCACAAATCTTAAAAAGGAACTTTAAATGCAGGGCTATATTGAATTGGTAAACTGCAACACAAACTGGCGCAACATAGGTAAATGAATACCAATCTCACTCTATGTGATGCAAGCATGCTACTTTCCCACTAATTTCAATTACTTTCAACCACTATGAGCCAGAATGCATGCCTGAACCTTAAACTGCACTTTAAAAAATAACATCTTGGCCTAGAAATTAAATCTAATGAAGTATAACCATCAAATTATATCTGCTACATTAATGTTCAATGCAAAATTAAGATGTCATCTTTAGTTTGATATGCCCAACCCCATTTATTCCTCCCTCCCTGCCCATCCCAAAAAAGGTAAAAGGAGTGACTCATTTGGCATTTCACAGGGTGCTTCATTGTTTATGTTTGTTTTGCTTTATTTCCAACTTTTTTGGGGTACCTTAAATTGTAACTTCCAAGAACCTGCTTCTACTATGGGAAGGCAAGCTGATTTTAACTATATTAGTTTTGTTTGTGTAGTTCTTCACCAACATGCAAAACAAGGCCCCATCATGTGGGAAAACTTATATAAAAAAACTTTAAATTAAAAAAAAAAAAAAAGCTTCTTTACTATTTGTAACTCCCATTCTTAGGTTTCCTTTATTGTGCGCTGTAGAATTGTTCCTCTTTCTTGTCCCTAGGCATCATTTATATGGTTCTTGTTTTGGTACAATTCCCCATAATATTCCACAATGTACTGTTTTGTGAGTAGACTGAATAGATTTTTTTTTTTTTTTTTTTTTTTTTTTTTTTTGCTTCTTCACATCCACTGCGGAGTTGTAACTGGAGACATATTTCCACCCACAAAAGCTCCAGATGTTAAAACGTTTCCCAACATCGACTTAATACAGTGACGGCAACACCTCCCTCCCGCCCCTCCCAGTAGGGTTGGGATTGTACTGTATTCCCTACTGGTTTACCCTTCCCCCCTGTAAAGGGTAACATTTTCCCTGGGTGCAGAGGCTCCCTCATAGTCTCCAAGACTGAAGGACCTATAAGAAAAAGAACAAAAACAATTTTATCTTTAACGATCGTTTGTCTTTCAAAGCCAGTGGAGCACAAAATTAATCAAATAAGAATACTATCTTTACCCATAAAGAAAATGAGAAGTTTGGACAAATTGCCTAAGATCATGTTAGTCATAACTACACTGCTTCCTTCTCTTATGGCGCTGAATTGTGCTGCATCAGGTATGAAAGTGAGGCCAAGCTGGGTAGCAGAGTTGTACAGACAGGCGTACAACACTTTGTATAGATGAAATATGGCTTGTATGATGCTATTAATCTAATTCTTTATCCCCTTTTGCAAAATGGGACCCAATGGGAACTGGTTATTTATTATATAACAAGTGGCCTTATTTTCTTGAAAATTAAGTAGCCCTTTCTTTAGGACAACCCTCAGAATGAAAACACCATCTTCCCCCCCCCAGTATTCTCAATATTAAGCAAACAAAAATTCAACCTATCAAAACACAAAGGAGCATTTTTTATTTGGTGTTGTCTGATATTTTAGCCTAGAAGGCACTAGAAGTGTTCATTACCACAGTAGGGTTACTACATTCAGTAAATATCAAAAAACAAATTCTACATAAAAAAAGAGAGAAAAGCAAATTTAACATTTATTTATTTATTTTGGAGATAGCACCTTGCTCTGTCACCCAGGCTGGAATGCAGTGGGGTGAATATGGCTTACTGAAGCCCCAACCTCCAGTGCTCAAGCAAACCTCCTGCTTCAGCCTCCTGAGTAGCTGGGAACATAGGTGCATACCACCATGTCCAGCTAATTTTTTAAATGTTTTTCATAGAGATGGAGGTCTCATCATGTTGCCCAGGCAGGTCTCAAACTCCTGGGCTCAAGCAACGCTCCCACCTCAGCCTCCCAAAATGCTGGAATTATAGATGGGGGCCATTACACCCTGCCTACACTTGCCTTCTTGATGTTCCTAATTCTCATTCTGATCCTATTTCATTTGGTCATTTCCACTATCTTCCAGTCACTTGGTTTTCCTGGTAAGACCTTTTTTCTATGCTAAACAGTTTTAATGATAAAAAGGATATTAAGAAATAAGGTAAGATTACTGGGAGATTAAACTGTTACCTGACAGTGGTCCTTTTACAAACAGAACTCTACTACCCACTGATGCCAAATTTTGGCCATTTATGAACGTTCATGTGAATTCACAGAGGGCAGTTAATCCATCTGTGTAGAAATACAAGCAACCCACCCCCCTTTTCTCCTGCCTCTGAAGAAAGGGAAGAGGAGTATAAAAAGGCAGGAATAAAAGATACTGATCTATTTTTAGCTCTAATTACAAAATCGAGAACTATTTCATACCTTGTCTTAGAACAGTTGATTCATAATTGGTGATGAGACCACAGAGGTAATAAATCTGAAAGTGATTCACTTAAGTAATTTTATTTTCTATTTATATGAGATGGAGTCTTGTTCTGTCCCCCAGGCTGGAGTGCAGTGGCACGATCTTGGCTCACTGCAACCCCCATCTCCCAGGTTCAAACAATATTCCCACCTCAGCCTCCTGAGTAGCAGGGACTACACGAACGTGCCACCACCACGTGGCTAACTTTTGTATTTTTAGTAGAGGTGGGTTTTCACCATGTTGGCCAGGCTGGTCTCAAACTCCTGACCTCAAATGACCCGCCCGCCTTAGCCTCCCCAAGTGCTGGGATTACAGGCACGAGCCACCACGCCTGGCCCACTTAAGTAATTTTAAATTTAAAGCGCAAGATAGAATGATATGAGGCTATGTTTTATTCAACCTCTAGAAAACAAATAGCTTTTTATTCTATTTAGTAGTTTGAAATGATAGCCCTAACAAAATTTTCTTCATCCTGAAAATTTCCAAACTTCTTATAACTTACCCCTAATTTTGGGACTGCAGCTTAAGTGTATTAGATTAAACACCATAAAAAGCTGCAAGACGCTCTTTTAAGGGAAGAGGAAACTGGTCAGAGAAACGCCTCCAATTTTCATCGCCAACTTGATTTTTAAATCCATGAAGGATCTGTAAGAGTGAAAAACCATTAATTTATCACTAACAAAAGAGAAAAACAGATCTGCATAGTTTCTGAAATCCAACACAACTGATTTTATTATTTATAAATTTTATCCATTTTAAAGTAGCAATTCTCAAACTTTGTAGGATTCTACACCATTCCCTGCTAATATGTTTCGGCTGTGTGTGCCCACCCAAATCTCATATTGAATTGTACTCCCATAATTCCCATGTGTTGTGGGAGGGACCTGGTGGGAGATAATTGAATCATGGGGTCAGTTTTTCCTATACTCTTCTGGTGGTAGTGAATAAATCTCATGAAATCTGATGGTTTGATAAGGGGAAACCCATTTCACTTGATTCTCATTCTTTTTCTTGCCTGCTGCAATGTAAGACGTGCCTTTCACTTTCCACCATGACAGTGAGGCCTCCCCAACCACATGGAACTGTGAGTTGAATTAAACCTCTTTCTTTTGTAAATTACCCAATCTTGGGCACATCTTTTTTTGTTGTTGTTGTTGGGGACAGAGTTTACTCTTGTTGCACATGCTGGAGCGCAATGGCACGGTATCAGTTCACTGCAATCTCCACCTCCTGGGTTCAAGCGATTCTCCTGCCTCAGCCTCCTGAGTAGCCGGGATTACAGGCGTCCGCCACCATGCCCAGCTAATTTTTTATATTTTTAGTAGAGATGGGGCTCCACCATGTTGGCCAGGCTGGTCTGGAATTCCTGACCTCAGGTGATCCACCTGCCTCGGCCTCTCTCAAAGTGCTGGGATTACAAGTGTGAGCCACCGCGCCCGGCCCTCGGGCATATCTTTATCAGCAGCCTGAATATGGACGAATACACCTGCCTTTCTTAAAAGTACCTCATAGCATATGCTTAAACTCTGCTTTGAGAAGTTTAGAATTTGGCAAGTATTCCAGCAACAGACATACTCTAAGCAATCTGATACCATACTAATGAAAAAACAGAGAAGTAGAGAAGTCATCCAAGTAATACAATTTTTATGTAGTATTTTTTCAAACTGGAAATATACAAGCTTTGAGCTCATGACAAACTACAGTTCACTAACTTTAATCTTGGGTGATTCAAATGTGTAACTGCATTTTATTTTTTACTGTGGTTGAGTACTGATGAGTTAATCAAAAGGGGGTATTGACAAAGCAAATAGGCCGGGCACGGTGGCTCATGCCTGTAATCCAGCACTTTGGGAGGCTGAGGCGGGCGGATCACGAGGTCAGGAGTTCGAGACCAGCCTGACCAACATGGTGAAACCCCACCTCTACTAAAAATACAAAAATTAGCTGGGCATGGTGGTGCGTGCTTGCAATCCCAGCTACTCAGGAGGCTGAGGCAGATGAATCGCCTGAACCCAGGAGGCGGAGGTTGCAGTGAGCTGAGATCATGCCACTGCACTCCAGCCTGGGAGACAGAGCGAGACTCCGCCACCAAAAACATAAACAAAGCAAATAATGACATGGGCTTACTCCTGTGGCGGCCATTTAGATTTACTCTTTTTCAGATTATACTCCAAATCTCCATTTCCACTTGAAAAACATGTACTATTTTCCTTAAATGGAATAATGGGACCACCTAAACTAGTGGTACACTTGGGAAAATACTTTCAAAGTGCATCCTCTACAGATAGGAGTCACTGCTAGGCCGGGCGTGGTGGTTCACGCCTGTAATCCCAGCACTTTGGGAGGCCGAGGCGGGCGGATCACGAGGTCAGGAGATCAAGACCATCCTGGCTAACATGGTGAAACCCCGTCTCTACTACAAATACAAAAATTAGCTGGGTATGGTGGTAGTGGGTGCCTGTAGTCCCAGCTACTCGGGAGGCTGAGGCAGGAGAATGGCACGAACCTGGGAGGTGGAGCCTGCAGTGAGCTGAGATCGCACCACTGCACTCCAGCCTGGGCAACAGAGTGAGACTCCATCTCAAAAAAAAAAAAAAAAAAAGGAGTCACTGCTGTATTTTAAGAAAAGATCAAACCAACTTTGTTACCAAGAATAAGAGTTATATATATAAACTATCAATACTGACTTGAAGAGCCTAAGTTTTGTAAAAAATGTAAACATAATTTAAAGTTTTCCACTAGGATATTAACAGTCCCAAGATGACGCATTATAAACACTTATTAGTTACCTTACAGAACATGTCTCTGAGATCATCTTTTGGGTTAATCCATGATGCAACGGCATCACAAAAAAATATAAAATCCTGTAACAAGCAAGAAATACATCTTAGGTTGACATTGTATTTGTCAAACTCAGCAAAAGATATATGTAAACCTTGGAGTTTAGAATCTAGCTTAAAAAAGGAAACATTTAAAAATTAACTATGATCATGAGGAATTAGAAGAGATTACCTTAATGGCTGTCCCTATTAGCCCACAGTCAAGGAACCTCAACTCATTCAGTTTATACTGGACTTTAACGTCCTCCATCACACAACAAAATAACCCCCTGTGCAGTAAATGTTCAGCATCAGAAATGAACTGGAAGCACCAAATCGACACCTATAAAAATACTCTTTCACTTACCGGATTAAAGAAAAACATAAAATCAATGACCTTACAGTTCTGACTAGCCAAGAACTTAAAGCTAGCTAAATGTATGTTAAATGACCTTGATTTGAAATAGAGAAATTAGTGATTTCAAGGTCCATTTTCAGACAAAACTTAAGTGAAACAACCAAAAATTAGAGAAAAACTAATTATGTAATTACAAATACCCAATCCAAACAAGAACAAAAAACCCAACTTTTGGACAATTCCTTAAAAGACAATCAGGCTATTCTGACTACAAGAACAAGATGACAATATGCTTTAAGCATTTCATTAAAACATTCTCTCAATCTTGCCTATCATACTGAAACATTAACAGTTCAACAAACAGCATTCAACATAATGCTGATTTTCTGACATGTCAACTATAAATTTTACTAATAAATTCAGAGAACATCACTAATTTCAAAAAATTTGGTAATACCACAGTATGTGTATAAGATGCTTATTTAAGCAAATAAGACTTGCTTAACACAATTTATTCAATTATGTCTTCCAAATACCAAATCTGATGTTAAAAATTTAAATGCACAGATACCTAGAATTTGTGATTAAAAAATTTAAATGTAAATAAACCTATGACATTTTATTTTAACCATATCCAAAATAAGGTATGTAAATAAAAGTTGTAAAACAGAAATTGCTACCAACTCTTAAGTTGGTTTCCTTCCATGCTTTCTTTTCCTCCAACTCTTAAGTTGGTAGCAATTTTATGATCATACATGTGCTACTTTTATCATCTTACAACATTAATTCAAAGAGAAAGAAACAATAAAATCCTGGTCGGAAGATGCTTTTGAAAAAGATGGTACATGTCGTATCAGATATCTCTAACACACATTTGAGATCACACGAAGTTCTTAAGTATTAAAAAAAAACCAGAAAATGTCAAAAGCTTATTGTGTAACTAGAAACCTCTCAAGATGGCACTAGCTTGTTCTAACAGTAAGTTATGAGTATTTTATGAGTGTGAAATCAGTCAGAAGTTATTATCTAACTCTAACTTGTAGGTTTTCAATGTCTATCACCTATATCAATTTGAATTTTATAAAACAGAATTAACGTTTCTAAAACTGAGTTAAGAAAAACCACAATACAAGCTAGGAAACATCAAACGGTCACAATTTAAAAATGTTCAAAACACCCCTCTCGGAGTGGAAAGTTGGAATTTTCTTGAAAATTAAAAAATGCGAGAAAGTTATTGCTATAAAAGCATTTTTTGGGGGCAGTTTTCTAACTCTTGTGTGTATTCCTGGACACCAAAGTTTAGTTCTTCGCTTCCCTCCCTCAACTACTTTTTTTTTCCCCAGACAGTCTTGCTCTTGTCTCCCAGACTGGAGTGTAATAGCGTGATCTCGGCTCACTGCAACCTCTGCCTCCCAGGTTCAAGCAATTCTCCTGCCTTAGCCTCTGGAGTAGCTGGGATGACAGGCACCTGCCACCACGCCTGGCTAATTTTTGTATCTGAAGTAGAGACAGGGTTTCACCATGTTTGCCAGGCTGGTCTTGAACTCCTAACCTTGTGATCTGCCCAACTCAGCCTCCCAAAGTGCTGGGATTATAGGTGTGAGCCACCATGCCTGGCCTCAACTACATTTTTAAATTGATTTGATATATCTTGGGTCTCTTGTCTACAGGTTTCCTTCCATGCTTTCTTTTCCTTAAACATGTCTGCTGAAGAATCCAGGTATTTAACCTAGAGTCCCACAGTTAGTCTTTTGTTCACTGAATATACATGGTGTAATTCAACATGTTTTTGTTTTGCGTGTCTAGAAAATTGGCAGTTGGATCCAGATGCTTAACTGGACTCATGTTCAATACTACTGCCAAATAATTAAAATGTCTACATATAACTTGAACTTGGAAAACAAAGATGAATAAATCATAAGCTCTCAAAATTAGAGCAATTTCAATGGCTGATTTGTATTTCATTTTATTCATTATTTCTAAATCTGATTCAAAGTATTTTATTTAGAACAGAGAGATAGGATTCCTACTATTTGGTCACTCTCTTAAGTGTAGATATCCACAAACTGATATCCAGGGATGGGAGGCAGGGACAAAATAAATAAATGAGGTCTGAAATCTGGATGAAAGAAGCCATGGCCTGATTCAAGACAAGAATATAACCTTGTTGTCCCAATCTGCTGTTACTATCTCATTTCATGACAAAAAATTTTTGGGAAAAAAGGTATTACAATGTCAAGATATTAAGAAATAAACATTTTAAAGGTTTAACTGTATTTTAGTATTTTTGAAAACAGTTAACTTTTTATAATTAAAGTATTAAAATATTTCTTCCTTTAAAATTTTATTAATCAGACATTAAAAACAAATCTTTGTGAAATCTTACTTGGATTACGCCACTGGGATTCACACTGATCATGGTACAAATTCCACGGAATGCTGAATCCTTTTCCTCATTGTCTCTTATGTTTCTCAGAGAGGTGCACCTATTGAATTACAGAATTGAGTTCAGCATTTAAGTAACAAGCAGATTCAATTACAATACTAATGGACAGTATTTAATGGAATAAGCACCACAGTATAGATAATGATTATATTAAAAGAGTTTTTCGGAAAGCTTTAGTTTCATTTACTTATACTTCCTGTTTGTTGGGCCCATCTTATCTCAATACAGTAGAACCAGTGAAATCCACATTTTCTTAATAAATTGCATCTATAAAGTAGATAACTCATTTGAATCTCCCATTTTAAACTATTACTGAGCCTGAGCCAAGAAGAGCAAATTACCAAATTAACTTTTAAAATTGTACTCATGACTTGTATTCCATTAAACACTACTAAAATGATTTGAATTGAAAGATTATCAATTGAAAGAAGCAAAACATAGGATATAGTGCCACAATATAAACTATTACTATATAGCTTATGGTGTAGATGTTTAATTTTTACATTAACAAGTAAATAATATTTTTATACGTAACAAATTTAAACATGTATTTCTTAATGCAATCCAAGTTTCCAAATTAATTCTAAAAAAGAAACGTAATGCAAAACCTAAATTTATAGAATTTGCATGCATCTTTATTTTTCTGGTGGATATTTAAATGCTTTTTATGTATAATCAAGCTTTTTAACACAGCAAGCATGTGACAATCTTATCCCATGCATCAATTAGTCGTTAGCCACAACATAAAATAAATATACATGACGATGCTATTGAAAAACCTCACAAACCTGATAGGACAAGATTAGTCACATGGTTGGCAATGATAAAGGATTGTGATTTTTGTAACCAACTGAAAATATATCTAAAAGTGAGATAGAGAAAGAAAGAGTGAAGAAAAATGAATTAAAAAAAAAGATTGAATAATACACACCAGGGTCTTATAAACTGCTGTAGCATGGGGGCCACCTCTTGAGGACAAACGTAACCAAGACGACCAATTGTTATTGCTAAGGTAACGCAATCACGGTTATACACCACCAAACGCCAACCAAGACATGAGCAAATGAGGGGGGAAGGAGAAAAAATAAAGAAAAAACAACAAATAACTCAGAAACAGAAACCAACAGAATTTGTGTATGATAATAAACATAAGATTTCACCAGTGCTGTTTATTACCACCCCCTAAAGTAAGGGGCAGCAACATATATGGCATACTCTTGGAAAAAGAAAAACAAAAGGAAGTAAAAAAATCTAAAGATTGAGAGAACACCAAAAACCATAATGAATTGCTTTTCTTGCTCAATCGAATGTCAAGTTATCATTCTGTTAATAAGATGAGCAGTTAAATGGACAAATTTAGATAACCTTCATTCAAAAGTCAGCCAAAATTTCAGAATTTAATAATAAAATCTAGTTTTTTTTCCTGAGGAAATATCAGTAAATGTGATTATATTTCTCAAGTATCTCAAACTAATACAGGTGAAAGTAATTTCCATTCCTTGGAAATTATCTAGGGAATTTAAACCAAATTTTTGGTAGTTTAAAAATTTTTTTGATTAACATTTGCCAAACCAACCAGTGGAAATCTGTTACTTTATATCAAAATCAACTGTCAGATTTTAAGTCTCACGGTACTCACTGAATGAATGGATTAGAATATTGCTATGCTACAATGTCAAATCTCATTTTGACAAACCTCTGGTAATTCAGGTAACAGTCCACTAACTTTAGGCCATATTTGAAATAAAATTCTAATAAAGGAAATTTACAGCCCACTGCAATGACATATGATATGTGGACCATAGGAAAACATAAATATTCTGTTTCTGCTACTAAAGGTACAGCACAAAATAGGTAATACATTATAATAATTACACACTATTATTTTATCTTTTACAATTTTGAAGTGGGCAAACATATATTCACCATAAAAACTAAGGAAGTCTTTAAACTTACAAAGAGCTAAAACAAATGCAACTCGGAACTGCATTCTGCAATTCAAAGGTACGTACATATAAATACATTCATACACAACGGGAAAAAATACAAACAGAAAACAAACCATGAAGTGCTTTAATGGTGTTCTCTCAAAAACTTACAGGTTAACCTTTCATAAAAAAAGGGTAGGGGGTAAAGAAAAATGTTTAAGGATTACTTGAAGCAAACTACACAGATAATACTAAAATCCAGCAGATTCATATGAAGCAAGAGAAAGAAAACCTATGTTCAAAAGACACAAACTATGCAACATTCTCATTAAACAGGCAAGTATGAACAATCCAATGAAACATGCGATAAAGCAGATGATGGTCCATTGAAAAAGTTCACTGTAGGATATATATTAATCGGAAAAAAGCAAATTAATGGCAGACTAAGGAATTGGCTTTATGAAATACTGAGATAATGGTAATTAAAAGCTGCTAAAATCTAGTATTAGCCATTGACAATCATTTTAATAATTAAAAAAAACCCACTTTTTTGGGTAAGTAATAAAGAAAACAATACTTTATGCAGCCACTTGTGATAAGTGATAATCTAATGAATCCCAAGTGTGTTTCTCAATAACATCAATTTAGTCCATCAACTTTAGGGCATTACGACTCATTTATTTATGCAGGATATAATCATACTTAAAATATAATCTTATAAATAAAGCCAATTTGTTAAATAAACTATGTAACAAATTCACCAGCTGATATCCCACAAGAAACTTTCATATACATTACACTCAACATTTATTTGCAGTTAAGCATTCACATTTAAAAATAAAAAGAAGTTTTTTTAGGTTCAACAATAATTTTATAATGGCAAGTGTTTCAAATCTGAATGTCATGTATAGGTACTGCATTCTGAAAAGATAAAAACCTAACAGGATTTCATAACCCATCCTATACATAGATTTTTGCACTTTTCAGCAAGAAAATCTAATTCACTTTGTAAAATAAACAGTACCCATACAGCCAAACAGCCAGATAACTGCTTCATAATTAAAAGATTTCCTTCCATACCAGTAAACATTATCAATTTTAATAGCATTAGAATAAAATGAACTTTCTATAATTTAAAAATACCAAATAAAAATGCCTTTGAAAATTAACTTTCTTATTTGGAAAACCTTATTTTAATCTTTGTCTAGTATTCTGGTAGAATACTCATTGAATTATAAATAAATTATAGGAATCATCTTAGTATGTAAAGAAAGGAATGTGCCTGAATGAAAACAAAATTTCTGTCTTTCTGGATTGTTAGCAGCAATCAGGGAGGGTAGAAAGAAAAGGACTCAATTCACCCACAAATGTGTTCTATAGTATGGAAGGTACTCTTTAATATAAACATGCTCTCTATAATGCAAAAGAGAAACAAGCTTCCTAAAAAAAAAAAAAAAAAAATCCCATAACATACTGCCTAAATTCCCAATTCGAAGAAAATTGTATGATGAAATACAAACTACAAATGCCATTGTTATCTAACCAATTTGCCACTGAATCTTTTTGACCACATTTGGACAGATTGAAAAAATAAAAATTACTTCCCAGCTCCCAGTTACTCTTCGAATTGATTTAAAAGCAAAATTCAGGTGGTTCAAATAGTTATCTTAGCTGGGATCCATTTTAGGAAGTATTAAAACACTGGAATAGGGGAGAAAAGTGTTTTTCTGGTTATACCACTAAATATATAACCACTGAAAACTGGTTATAGAATGTAGCTGGAACAGTATATTTCATTACTGAGAATCCAAAATAGCAATTAAATACAAAATAAGCTTGATTTTAAAAGCTAGTTTTGCTTTGGTTTCTCTACGCATATTAAAATTAAAATGCAACAAATTTTCTCTTCACTGAAACAGTTCAGTCATATGGTACCTGTATTCTCTAACAACGTCTTTGGTGTGTTGGGTCTGTTAATGATTTCTACAAGCTGGTGCAACACCATAGGAATATAAGGCTGCATCTCTATACCTAGAGATCATCCCAAAAAGAAAAAAACAAAACAGAAAAATTGAACGTTAAAATACCAATGTGAAATTTTGCTTCCCTTATTAACTCTGATGTGTCATACAAATACAGAAACATAAATAATTAAAAATAAAGCAATCACAAAAATATCAAGGCACCTAAAAATTTATATTTTATTTATTTATTTATTTAGAGACAAAGTTTTGCTCTGTCGCCCAGGTTGGAGTGCAGTGGTGTAATCTCAGCTCACCAAAACCTCTGCCTCCCAGGTTCAAGTGATTCTCCTGCCTCAGCCTCCTAAGTAGTTGGGATTATAGGTGCCCGCTACCACGCCAGCTAATTTTTGTATTTTTAGTAGAGATGGGGTTTCACCATGTTAACCAGGCTGGTCTCGAACTCCTGACCTCAGGTGATCTGCCCACCTCAGCCTCCCAAAGTGCTAGGATTACAGGCGTGAGCCACCGTGTCAGGCCTTACGCTTTTAAATAGGGAAAAACATCTTACCCATTTGAATGGAGATTTCTCCAATTGCCCATGTGGCATTGTTGCAGACTGAAATGAATTCTGGATTTAGGTTGGTTCCCAATATTGGCATGAAATCAGCTAGAAAAAAAATTTAAACTATGTAGTAAACTTTTCAATAGCAGTATATTGTATTTTAAAGGAAATCTACTAGATGGAAACAAAAATCTAAGCAAGAAATAACAAGTTTCACCATTAAAAAAACTACTGCAACATCGATTTAAAAATCAGTGGAAAAAGGCGACTGTATTTAAAAATATTTTTAAAAGGGGTTGGTAATGTTTATCTTAAGAAAGCAGTATCTGGCCAATGAACTTTCATATAAAGTTGAACAGGAAATACGAGTTTGGGTATATTTTACAAAATGCCACTAAAAAGAGTTGGTCAGAGTAATCTCTTGTAATTAGATGAAAAAAAAAATCAATGATTATGGCTTTTAAAGCAACTTTCACTCTTGTGCTCTGATTGTGGTCTCTGAATATCATTTTCCACTAAAAAAAAAAAAAAAAGGACTCTCAGAAAATGTCACATTACAGGCAAAGGCAGAAAATGTGTAAAATAAGTGGACTACCTCGTCGTAACGAAAGGACTTGGGAGCCAACTTAAGTTCTCACTGCAAGCAGTACAACAGCTTGAAGATCATGAAGTCACACTGGCACTAAAAAAACCCAAAAACTAAACTCTGAAACATCAAAGATACTTTTGGAGGATGCTAGGAATCAATTCATTTTCTCAAAATCGGTAAATAGAAAAGAATCAAGTATTTATCTTGCCTTTGCTATATGATTTTACCTCAGGGCAGTAATCTATTGATATGGGAAATGTCTCTCTATATAAGCATCTTTATTATTAAATGAAGAATTAGAATATCATAATTTTTTAAACCCCTAATAAATCAGGAGATGTAAGCCAGGGTTTCTTGATCTCAGCAATACTGACAGTTTGGGCCAGATCATTTTTTTGTTGGGGGGAAGAGGAGCTGTCTCCTGTATAAGATGTTTAGCAACATCCTTTGCCTCTACCTACTAGACATCAAAGGCACCTCTCCAGCGTTAAACAAAATGTCTCCAGACATTGGCAAATGTTCCCTGAATGGCAAAATTGTCCCTACTTGAGAATCACTGATTGAGACAATCATCAAGATTGATAACATAAAAAAAAGGAGGGACAACTAGACACTATGTAGGTACCTCCTTAAGAAAGTACACAATACCATCTATAAAGTCTTAAAAACAAAACAACATAAATCTCATTAAACCTCAGTCTCTGTATCAAAACAATTTACAGTAAATACAACGGACAAAGGAACATGTTAAAGACATCAGAAAGATGCAATCAGTAAAATTCACAGTAAACTCTTCAGAATAAAAAACATGGTTTAACAAAAAACAATTGTAAGAAGAGGTAGTATGTACTAAAATATTGTGACTTCTAACGCTGTGTTTGAGATTTGCTCCAAAATATCTGAGATCTATGTGTCTCTCACCATTGACAACAATATATAGGAAACATGGCTGGACAGCTGAAGCTGGGTGATAGGAGGTTTGTTACATTTTTTCTACTTTTGTACATCTTAAAAACTTTATAATAAAAAAATCAAATCCTTTCATGTAAATTTCAACTAAAAAACTAAATTAGATGGTAAATATGAGAATCATAAGCTTCCCATAAGAATTCATTATACTGTTAGGTTTAAACTTGATGGTTCTTAATATATCATAATTTATGTTAACGTTTTTTGAGAAATGGTTATTACACAAAAGCACGATTATATCAGATGATAAAACATTCAATAAATATTTTAAATTAAGGTTTAAATCAAGTATTAAAACAATTTTTTTTCTTTTTTCTTTTTTTTGAGACAGAGTCTCACTCTGTCACCCAGGCTGGAGTGTAGTGGTACAATATCGGCTCACTGCAAACTCCGCCTCCCGGGTTCAAGCGAGTCTCCTGCCTCAGTTTCCCAAGTGGCTGAGACTACAGGCGCATGCCACCACGCCCAGCTAAATTTTTGTATTTTTAGTAGAAGCTGGGTTTCACCGTGTTAGCCAGGATGGTCTTGATCTCCTGACCTCATGACCTGCCCACCTCGGCCTCCCAAAGTGCTAGGATTACAGGTGTGAGCCACCGTGCCCGGCCATATTAAAACAATTGTTATCCAGCATGCTGAGATACAGAAAAGGGGGGAAAAATCCCATAACGCATTTATAATCCATAGGTTTGAGAACAATTCATGGTACAACATTCAAGGAACTCCTTATCATTGTCACAAAAGGCCAAGACAAATGCTATGCTAGTCTCGAACCTCGCACTCCTGACGTCAAGTGATCTGCCTGCCTTGGCCTCCCAAAGTGCTGGGATTACAGGTGCGAGCCACCAGGCTCAGGCTCAGTTAGAGTAACATTTGTTGGAAGTTTTCTGCAGTATCTGAAAAAGTATGCTGGTTTATTAGAGAATAATAAACTGATTATTACTATTTCTGTGTACCTCTACCAAAAAGGTGGCTACTCAAAAAAAGGATCTATTAACTAGGCCGTGGTACCAAGGCTTCCATGGTGGGCATGTCCTTTAAAGTATTATTACTAAGATTTCCTCCAGTAACAGGAGCGCCTAAAAAGCTGAGATGATGGCAAGCTCAAGGAAATTTTAGGGGTTCCTGCCATCTTGCCTGTTTCAGTCAGAGCAACTTCACTTTAACCAATAAAGTGTACATTTATAAATGCTGGGATTCCATGCAATTTCAGTTTAATAATAAAAAACAAAGCTGATGTAAAAATAACTTTAAAAAACCATATTCATAGCAGTAGAAAATATTCATACCTATACAAGGCTTAACATGCTGAAAGCAAGCTTTTGTGAGGTCACCTAACAGGGCAAAAGAACTCTGTCGAACTTCTGGCATTTTATCCTACAAGAAATAAGAAGAAATTAACCCCAATGTGACACAGAGAAACAGGCTTCAATTTATTTTCACCTTTCACGTCTCACCTGCATACACTGATACATTAGTGTTAGGATGTTACTTCGGGCTACCAGCTGTTCAATGTTGCCTCCAAGTCCTTCAGCCAGGCCACTCAGTAAATCAAGAGCCACTATCATAAAATCTTTATCTGGAGCTTCATATTGATCTGGTTGAGCATTGTTTAGCTGAAATTAGACACAATGTTTTTTGTAAGTTTGTTTTAAATTAACTACTGAAAAAGTTTGTATACATTATGCCTATTTTTGGAAAAATGTCCACCATGTCAAGAAGGGAAAGACATTTTAAAAAAATTACCATGGCTTGTGCAAGAGTCTTCTGTACTAGGTTTACACAACGCTGATACACAGGTTCACAGTACGGAAGGAAGCCAGACTGCAGTGCTGTGGCAACTGAAGATAGGCACTAGGAAGAATAAAGTACACATGCTAAATTTTCTGGTTACACTGAAGATTATGATCAATGCTTTAAACTGTGCTCAACAGAATCCTGGTCATTTACGAGCTTGCTCTACTAGTTTCTACAGTAGCAGGTGTCTTTTGTTTTTGTTTTTTTTCCCCCAAACATCTCTTTTGGAAGCTATTCATTGCTGTTAGTTTGCGAGCCAATCAGGTCAGGTTTACTCAGAGGAAGAGTTTCTACAAGAAACATTATCCTTCAAGGACAGATTGAGTATTATGTGTTCATATTTTTCCCTCAAATTGAAGTGATTCATTTCATGCTCCCATCATGGTCAATGTTGTGGATGGACTTTACTGGGCACATCTGAGATCCCACTGGAAAGTAATATACATACAGTTGGCCCTCTGTATCTATGGATTCAACCAATCTTGAATCAAAAGTATTTAGAAAAAAAATTAAAATGATTTAAAGTATATTGGGAGGAGATGCACAGGCCATATGCAATACTACACCATTTTATATAAGGGACTTGAGCATCGCTGGATTTTGGTATCCACAGGGAGTCCTGGAAACAATCCCTTGAGGATACTGAGGAACGACTGCATACAAAAAACGAACCATAATGATTCTTCTTGTTTTGTTGGGCCCAGAATTAGTTGTTGCTCATGGTCATAAAAAATTTAACTTCTCTGGCTAAGGAAATCCACGGTAGAAGTTGGCGAACTTCTAAGTTTCAGTGACTACATTTCATAGTGCGTTCAGTTACTACAACGTCATATACAAGTTTGCAATGGAAGGGGTGTTACAAAAAAGTAAGTATGCATGGAAACATTTTCAAATTAGAAAATAAAGTACCTCCTTACTGGCACCAAATCCTACTACTTCACATATATTTATAAGTGAAAAGATATATACACACACACACCCTGGTATACCAGCATGTTATCTACTGTCTATATATAGAGAGTAGATAACATAAGAGAACTTAAAACTATAATTTATTATCAATTAAGTAAAGCAGGTTAGAAAACAACATGTATAATATAATTTCCTTTGTCTACTTCAGAATATAAATTTATTAACACTTTTCTTATCACATATACCCATTTTGGATTTGAACATGTGTTCTTGGCAACAGATTAAATATTACTAGCCCTGCATACCTCAAGTAAAGGGAAGAGATCTTTATCTTCATCCTTTAACATGTTCCATTTCTGGATCAGTGGAGGCATTAGCATCTGAATATATTCCTATTTACAATGATGAAAAACATATAAACTTCCACTATCACATGTAAACAAGACCACTGAGTCTTTGAAAATTAAAATCCATTTTAAGCAATTGTGTAAAATCATTACAAAAGGCATTTTAAGAGTCATTCCTCACTTCTGCACACTCCCTTTTAAAGTTTTCCTTTCTTTTGCCTACCTTTATACTTACATCACCATGTTCTAGTTTTAGATCTAGAACTAGTGATCTACTAATCTTTTATCCCTGCTGAAAAAGAAAAGTCTATCAACAAACACACAGCTAATCAAAATCTATTACTTAAAAAAATCACAATCAAGGAAGATCTAAGTTTTTAAGTTACAGAACATTTTTATTTCTGCAGCTGGGCATGGCGGCTCACACCTGTAATTCCAGCACTTTGGGAGGCCGAGGCAGGCAGATCACTTGAACCCAGGAGTTTGGGCCAGCCTGGGCAACATGGCAAAACCCTATCTCTACAAAACATTGGCCACGAATGGTGGTACCCGCCTGTGGTCTCAGCTACATGGGAGGCTGAAATGGGAGGATCGCTTGAGCCCAGGAGGTGGAGGTTGCAATGAGCTATGATCACACCACTGCCCTCTAGCCTAGGTGACAGAGTGAGACCTTGTCACACACACACAAAAAAAAAAAAAAAAGAAAAGAAAGAAAGAAAGAAAGAAAGAAAAATAAATTCTTTTTAGTCCTGGAACTGTAACATGTAATATGGCTGTTACTATACAGTACATTTTAAAATCAAGAGGTAAACTTATATAGATGCATTTGTAGAAAAACAGACTTAAAATCATTTAAGTGTCAAACTAAAGAATGATCCATAAAACGAATAAACAGTTATCATGTAAACAGGGGCACAGATTCTAAAGACATTCAGAAAACCACCACAAAACCAAACCAAACAACCAACAGCAAAGCAAACCTACAAACTGCCCTGTACCAAATTTTAAGTATAACCTAAAAATAAAACAATTTCTTAAGACTTTTGATATAGCAATCATATAGAAGTCTATTCAGCAGGGTATGTGGAGCTATATTACAATTCTACTATCACTTAAACCCTCATTAGACAAATCCATCCTCCTCTTCTCTTAACACTACTGGAAACAAGGCACTTTTGCATTATTATTTAGCATTTTTAAACCTATCACCCCAATTTCTAATTGTTTTATACAGTATACTCCCCATACCTGCTGAGAAAACAAAGATGTCTAGATATCATACTCTAAAGCTACAGTGTTTATGAAGCAGGAGATTCAAAACCACTAGAAAAAAGCAGATAGCTAGATTCTAAAAACTTTTTTATCCCTTTGCTTTAGTCATTCTAAGTAGTATCAGAGCATTCATGTGAAATGCTGTTGTAGTTTCCACACCAAGTATATACTTAAAGAATACCATATGAAAGGGGATATATTTGCTGCCTTTGTAAGATCTATACTCCTTAAAGTAGCAAATGCTACCTATTCACATCTCCCAAAACATCTTAATTTCCAAATATACGCTAACCTATTGATTGTTAACTATGCTACACATTATTTTCCATAATAGTTCTTAACAGATACTTACTGGTTTGTTTAAATGATGTCCTACTGAATCTGCTAATGTTCCTATGGCATCATAAAGAATGAGCAGGTTCTTATGCTGGTATTTACTAAATGCAAAAACCAGAGTATCAAGTATATAAGCAAGGTAAGGAACAAGTTCTGTACAAGCCTCCTCTTCTAGGGTAGCAAAGGCACTGTTAAAAAAAAAAAAAAAGAAAAGAGTACTTATTGACTGCAAGACATATCTAACTCTTAATTTCTAAAATGTTTATGTTCTGTTTTACCCAATCAGAAATTTCCTAAAATGGTCTAAACCATCTGTTAATGAAAGCCCTGGTCATCAGCACTGTGAATTATTTACCCATTTCTTCTATAGCACCTGCTATAAATGATAATTATGTTGTTGCTTTGTATCTCCTACTAGCCTGTATGCCTCAAGATGGCAGAGACTGTAAACTCAGCACTTAGTATATGCTTAACAATTAATAGCTTAAAAAAACTCAAAAACCAGGTACTGAATGAATAAACTATAGGATCTCAAACATAATCTATATCCTCCCTCCCTTGAAATTACTTAGTGCTATATTAATCACTATAGCCCCCTGTTCAACTTTCTTTCATCTCACTAAGAATATCTTCCAGATATTAAGGTCAAACTCAGATTTACTTTTCTTGCCAGGTGTGGTGGCTCACGCCTGCAATCCCAGCACTTTGGGAGGCCAAGATGGGTGGATCGCTTGAGGTCAGGAGTTCAAGGCCAGCCTGGCCAATATGGCAAAACCCCATCTCTACTAAAAATACAAAAATCAGCTGGGCATGGTATCGCACACCTGTTGTCCCAGCTACTCAGGAGGCAGAGGCAGGAGAATCGCTTGAACCCGGGAGGCGGAGATTGCAGTAAGCCAAGATCGTACCACTGCACTCTAGCCTGGGCAACAGAGCGAGACTCCATCTAAAAAAAAATAAAATGAAATTTTACTTTCCTTTGTTCAACAGTTTTTCTTCCTACTATCAAGGTCAACGGTAAAAGCAAATCTACTCGAAAAAGAAAGAACTATAAACATAAGCAGAAGGCCCTTTTAAAATATAAAGGTTTGTTCCAGGAAACTGGAATATTTGCAGTAATAATAGCAACTGCTGCTTTGATATGAAGAGACAGCCTCCAAAGCAACAACAGAATGGCTACTGGAGCAGAACTACTAAGCACTCAAGACCTGTAACTGGTAAGTAACAGAGCACAGGTCCCTGTGGGACTTTCTAAGTTACAGAGGTTGACCTGTAGTCTAAAGATGTCACTCTGCTCAAACTTTGTTATTCCTTCAAGAGTAGGAGTCCTGTCATCACTACTTCAGATGTTTGAGAGAATTAGGGTGTAAGATAATTCTGTTATAATAACCACTGAGTGGGAAAAATGAGCCAAGGAAGAAACAGCTAAGATTGATGTTGTCACATTTAGATCTACAAAATCATCAGGTAAAACCCGTATGACAAAATTCTCCTGGCCAAACAAAATGTATAAAATATGCTAATATGCAAACCCAAAAGCTACAGATCCTGCAAAAAACTTCACCAAGAAGAAAAAAGAAAACTAAGCTTTCCGATGTAACTGGAAAATTTTCAATTACGAAACACTTCATTAAAGGTTTAACACCAACACTCCATCAGAAGGTTGAAAATTAGTTTTTCACTCCCACAAAGAACACTGTGTTATGAATCTGTCCCACCTGCAGGCAGCTTCTTGTACTCTCTTGTTGCTATCCAGGATGCGCTTTAGCAATTCTGTCATTAATGGCTTCAGGTACGTGTCTGGTGGCTGGCTGACTACCCAGTGTGCATAGCGGCTAAGAGTCCAGCATGTTATGGAACGCACAAGAGCCTTTTTATCAGAGAGGCACTGAATAAGGTGAGGAATAAGCTCAGGCAAGTATGGAATCATGCCCTGCATGCAACCTAGAAAAAAAATAAATCTTTCAAAATGCTAAGATTTGGTTATTATTATTTTGATCGTGAAAATAAAACATGTATCTATGAAAAAATCCAGAATATTTCTACTGCTATAAATATACTACAATAACCTATACCAAATTTTTAAAACCCTGAAGTTACAGCTACCCGCTCCCAAGCATCTTATAATAGGGTTAGGACCTCATTTTATCTCTGCTACACGAATTATAGCTTTCAGAAATGCCTATTAACGTGTTTCAATTTCTTCTAATAGATGTTTACTGCCAGGACAGAATCAATAATAACCCTTCATAGAGAATGATGACAGTCTTGCCTTATTGTGTTTCCTAGATTTACCTAAGAAATCAAGGATTTTTTTTTTTTAAAGCAATGGGGATGCTTCAGACATCAGAGCCTTTCATTCTGTTCCCTTAATTTTTTTTGTTATTTTTTTATTGAGATGGGGTCTTGCTCTGTGGCCAAAGCTGGAGTGCAATGGCACCATCTCAGCTCACTGCAACTGCCACTTCCCAGGTTCAAGCGATTCTCCTGCCTCAGCCTCCCAAGTAGCTGGGACTACAGGCGCATGCCACCACACCCAGCTAATTTTTGTATTTTTAGTAGAGACGTGGTTTCACCATGTTGGCCAGGCTGGTCTCGAACCCACCTCAGGTGATCCACCCACCTAGGCCTCCCAAAGTTCTGGAATTACAGGTGTGAGACAACATGCCTGGCCTCTGTTACCTTTATTATAACAAAAACATTTTGCAAAATATCTGGCTGGGGTTAGAAGCCAGCATATGGCTGTTTAATACCAGTTATCTGCTTCAAAACAGAAATTCCTTAAAGTCGCCTAGCCTTATTAGTACCTAACAGTAGTAAGAAGCCAACTTACATAATTCAAACTGGACTTAGACTTACCTTCAGCAATTGCTCCTAAAACCAAGATGCCTGATTCTTTAACAACCCATTCATGATGAAAAAGTAATTCTTTCAAAAGGGGCAAAATATGTGGCAGCAGCTCATCACGATACACATTTGCCAGAACATCTAGGGCAGCAGCAGAACATTTTCCTAAGGAAATATTTAATTCAAAAACATTACATTAACCTCTTATTACTTATATATTAAAATATTTACTGTATATGTAACTGTTTGTTCATATCTCTAATACAGGGTTTTAAAGTAAGAATTCAATTGAATAGGACGTAGTCTGTCACATGAAAACATTTTCTGTTTTTTTTGTTTGTTTTGTTTTTTTTTTTGAGACGGAGTCTCACTCTGTCGCCCAGGCTGGAGTGTAGTGGCCGGATCTCAGCTCACTGCAAGCTCTGCCTCCCGGGTTTAAGCCATTCTCCTGCCTCAGCCTCCCGAGTAGCTGGGACTACAGGCACCCGCCACCACGCCCGATAGTTTTTTGTATTTTTTAGTAGAGACGGGGTTTCACCGTGTTAGCCAGGATGGTCTTGATCTCCTGACCTTGTGATCCGCCCGTCTTGGCCTCCCAAAGTGCTGGGATTACAGGCTTGAGCCACTGTGCCCGGCCGTCATTTTTTTTTGAGACAGAGTCTTGCTCTGCTGCCCAGGCTGGAGTGCAGTGGCACGTTCTCGGCTCACTGCAAGATCCTCCTCCCAGGTTCAAATGATTCTTCCACCTTAGTCTCCTGAGTAGATGGGATTACAGGTGTATGCCACAACGCCCAGCTGATTTTTGTATTTTTAGTAGAGACGAGGTTTCACCATGTTGGCCAGGATGGTCTCTAACTCCTGACCTCATGATCCGCCCACCTTGGCCTCCCAAAGTGCTGGGATTACAGGTGTGAGCCACCATGCCCGGTCAAAAACATTTTCTATTAAGATGAATATTTTTTATGACAAGAACTTACTTGGCAAATTAATTGTGAAGACATTGTATTCTGTACATAACTATCATACTAGAATTCTGCCTATACAGAAAAACTAAAACAAATACTGTGCCATTCAAGTCAATGCTTCTAATATAACCACTCAATACGATATAATCATATTACAATCATGATTACAATCAATGTTACAATCATGCAAAAAACATATATTAATTCTACTTAACATTTCCAGCGGTAAATCATCTAGAATTTAATACGCAATTACTTAGCTAGAATTTAGACACAAAAATTGGAACAAAAGTCACTGACACATGAAACATAAAACATGCTAGAAAATACTCTTTACAGACAAAGAATTAACTATGGGACTATAAATCAACCCAGATTTTATTATCATAATAATTTAGACAAGAGCAACAAAATCGAAAAATATCATTAACTGTTATGGGTAGGAACATGTTCCTGAAAGTTCATGTGCTGGAAACCTAATCCCTAAAGCAACAAAGATGGGAGATGGGACCTAATAAGAGAGGCTTAGGTCTTAAGGGTTCTGCCCTCATAAATGGTTTAATGTTGTTATTGCAGGAGTGGGTTAGCTATCAAGAGAGCTGGCTTATTGTAAGTGTGAATTGAGCTCTCTCTTATGTGTGTCTTTCTGTCATCAGATGTTGCAAGAAAGTTCTCACCAGATGCAGCCCCTCCACTCTGAACTTCAGGTATCCTGTTATAGTAGCACAGAATGGACTAAGAAAATATCAAAAATCAAAATATCAAAAAAAAAAAATCAAAAACTAGGCATAGCAAATGATGAATCACAAACTACTAGACAGTAACAAAATCCTTAAAAACAAAAAACAAAAAACAAAGCCATTACATTGGCCAGAAATTAACACCTTACCTATCAATAAGGATCTTAGTTATACCACATGGTAGATCCATACAACTAAACAGTACACTGACATGCAATAAAAGGAAATCTAAATTTGTATGTACTGATGAAGAATGAGGCATATGATATACAGAAAGAAAGCAGCAGAGTACATATAATCTGATTTCACTTTTAGAAATTTGGTTTCTCCTCTAGTTATCTGTGTAATGATCTTGAGCCATCCGGCTCCCCCAGTCTGAAAGTAGGGATACACTGGGAGATAATCTGTAATAGCAGTGAACACCATGGGTTGTCTTAACAAGTGAGACTCGCGTACCAATACTAGATGTGCTATCAGTACTAGCTATGCTAACCTTGGGTAAATTTCTCTTTCTGCAGTTTTCTTACCTATTCAAGGTTGTTGGAAATCTTAAATATAAATATGACTTTATTCTTACTTATGATTAAGTAAGACTTTCATATGCATGTAAAGTCCTTGGCCTAGTGCCTGGCACATTAGGCACTCTAAATAGAATGTTAGCTATAGGAAGCTGAAGAGGCAACAGAGGAATCAGCATTATCTAACCAAACGAATGACACAGCCCAGACTAATAATGTCTGTCCTTAACTGCTTTATTCATAGTTATTAGAAAGCCCAACACTTTGAACTAGAGTAGGGGCTCTAAACTGGGGGCAATTTTGCTCCCCCAGGGGATATCTAGCAATGCCTGGAGGCATTGCTGGTTGTCACAACTGTTTGTGCTGCTGGCATCTTTGGGTACAGGCCAGGGATGCTGCTTAACATCCCATAATGTGCAGGACAGCCCCCACAACAAAGAATTACGTGCATGATGTCGCATTCACATGTAAGAAAAAAAAAAAACTTATGTGGCCCAAAATGCCAATAGTGCCAAGGCTGAGAAACCCTGAACTAGAGTAGTAGAGGTTTAAAAACCAGCAAGCAAGCAAGCAAGCAAAATCAGAACACAGGTGTTTAGGTTCATCCCCAATTAGGAAGTGTGGGCCAGAATGCTAGCTCTACAGGTGATGTGATTTGCAGCTAAGGTTGGAAATTAACATATTTTAAAAAGCATATTTCATAAGTTTTGAACATAACAACTTATATTATTTTAGAATTACCTATGATAGCCAATTCTCATGCAAATTACCACACAAAAAACACTCATGTTAGAAAAACCAAAAAAGCTTGTGGTAATGTTCTTACAGTATTAAAACAAACAGCCTTTTGAGAAACGGTAGTTTAAGAATACAATAATGATAAAATAAGAGCAGGCCCACCAGGAAAATGCAAACCAAAACCACAAAATACTACCTCACATCCACTGGAATGACTATAATAATAAAGAGATAATAATAAGGCAAGTGAGCATGTGAAGAAACTGGAACCCTCCAGACAACGGTGCTAGGAAAGCAGAATGGTGCAGTCACTTTGGAAAACATCAATTTCTCAAAAGGTTATTTCTCAAAAGGTTAAATATACGGTTACCATATGACCCCAACAATCCTTCTCCAGAGTGTTTACCCAAGAGAACTGAATACATGTTGGGCCAGACACAGGGGCTCACGCCTGTAATCCTAACACTTTGGGAGGGCAAGGCGGGTGGATCGTTTGAACCCAACAGTTCAAGACCAGCCTGGGCAACATGGCAAAACCGTCTCTACCAAAAAACAAACAAACAAACAAAAAACACACAAAAAAATCAGCCAGGTGTACTGGTGCACACCTGTAGTCCCAGCTACTTGCGGAGCTGAGGTGGGAGGATCACCAGAGCCCGGGGAGATCAAGGCTGCAGTGGGCCATGACTGTGCCATTGCATAATCACACCAGCCTGGGTGACAGAGACCCTGTCTCAAAAAAAAAAAAAAAAAAGCCTACACACAAAAATTGTACATGAGTATTTATAGCATCACAACTCAACAGCCACAAAAAGAGAAACACAAACATCCACCAACCAATGAATGGATAACTAATATGTGGCATATTACTACAATGAAATATTATTTCATAATACAAGTGAATGCCACAACATGAACTGTGAAAACTTTATGCTAAGTCAAAGAAGATGGTCACAAAGGACAATGTATTGTATGACTCCATTTACACAGAATGTCTAGAATAGGCAAACCCAGAGACAGAATATTGACTAGTAGTTCCCCAGAGCCAGTAAACAATAGGGAGTTACTGCTGAAGGGTATGGGTGATGAAAACATTCTACAACTGATTGTGGTAATCGTTCAACAGTTCTCTGAATATACTAAAAACCAATGAATTGTATACTTTAATGGGTAGTAAACTGGACAGATGAATTATACCCCAATAAAGTTGTTACCACAGCAGGCAACTGTGCTTTTCCCTTTCTGACTTACTTAGATTCCAGTCAGAAATTGTATCATCATCATCAATTTCATCATCATCATCATCTTCCTCTTCAATTCCATCTTCATCATGCTGCTGGGCCACTGTCCTTGATCGGTGAAAACGTGGCCGTATATCCTGTTCACTATCAGGAATCGTTTCATCTTCTTCAACATCACCCTGTTGTTTTTTTTAAGATAAATTTTTGGTGGCATTCATTATAGGCTAATAACATGTACATGAGTAAGAGAAACAGAATATCCAGAGATGGGGTCATGCACAGGATTCTGAAGTATACTTCCAGAGTGATTAAGAACCACGCCCACGTACAGAACATATTCCTTATGGAGGGGCGAACAGATTGACATAACACACCTATTAGGTTATATGTCCCTTTCAGCCAACTACATGGCCTCCAGTGGCTGGTATAATCTAAGTGTACCTGAATCAAATTCAGAGCAGCATATATAAGAATATTTTTAAAATAACTCCAAGTAATTAAGGGGAAATTAATAATAACCCTACCAATGTCACCATCTAGTACCAAATTAAGCAAGAATTTATCATTACTCAAACTTATGCTTCTAACTTTAAACTTCTATAACCTATTATAGACAATAGGAAGTCTATTTACTGGATATCTATTCTCAATGAATGTTTTATTGGCCAAATTCAAAGATGTACTAAATCAATATAAAAATCATGTTCCCTATTCATCAAAAAAACCTTCCTTACCTTAAGTAGGATAATATCTATATCTGAGTACTTCATGCCATTCACTAACACAGGAATCAACCTATAAAGAAAGAAATTCATGAAACAAAGTCCAAAAGATCTCAACAGAATAATTAGTAAGTCTTAACCTTGTGTGTACTAATAAAACCAATGAGATAATTAACGGTAATATTGTCTTTGAACTTATTCAGTGATATATATCTGCTCTCATTAACTGAAGAAATGCTAATAGAGAAAAGGAAGCAGTGAAATACAAAATCCCCTGGATAGGTTTAAGAAATGTGGGCTAGTCAAACTTTCACGCTCAAAGTCCTTCTAAATTCGAAAATAGAAAGATTAGTAGTAAACATTATAGTTAGCATAATTTAACTAGGTAAGACTTAAAATACATAGAACTATATTTTGTAAGCTACAGGCATTTTGCAGGAGAAACAGGTGTATCTGGATCACTAACAGTTAATCACTGATGATCTTTGTCAACAATTTCAGAGAAATGGTGAGGACAGACATCAGAATGTAAGATAATGAAGAGTTAACAAGATGTGGGTTAAAGAAGTGAAGACAGTAAGTCCCACTCAAAAAAAGTTTGAGTTGTTTTTTTGAAGACAGAAAAAACTGCAGCAAGTTATAAAGTTATGGAAAATGAGGCAACAGGGAGAAGCTAGGAGTGAGTATTTATCTGGTACGGTGAGGTCTCTGGGGATATGAAAAATTTATACTATACGGAACTTAAGTTTGGTTAGGAGAGGACAACTCATATGAAAATATTATCTGTAAGTTTTGGGGCAAGATAATGGGTCACCTGCTTTCTTTATAAGCAATAAGAGCTCAAAGTGCATTAAGAGAACATCAAAAGAGTGACAAAGGTTTCAAACAGTTGCTCTTGGTGACTAAAAGATAAAAGCTGATCTGGAACATGAATTAGCAGATTGTGAAGGGTCCACTTGTGGATGATGACCACAGATTTCTATAGCCAACAATCCCCCTGGGGGAGTGTAATTTTCCCCAAAGGCATTCGACAACCTGGTTAAAGAAAAGAGTTCACAGTTCAATTAGTCTAGAGTAGGGTAGACAGAAGTTTCGCGTTAGTAGGGTTTATTCATGGCTCTGATGTTTGTCACATAAAGAGAATAAAAATAATCAGATTAGGTCGAGGCAAGCGGATCACAAGGTCAGGAGTTTGAGACCAGCCTGGTCAACATAGTGAAACCCGGTCTCTACTAAAAATACAAAAATTAGCCAGACATGGTGGCACGTGCCTGTAGTGCCAGCTACTCGGGAGGCTGAGGCAGGAGAATCGCTTGAACCTGGGTGGTGGAGGTTGTAGTGAGCTGAGATCACGCCACTACACTCCAGCCTGGGCAACAGAGCGAGACTCCATCTCAAAATAATAATAATAAAAAAGAATCAGATTAGAACACAAAGAGGTCAAGGGCCTTGGAATGGGGTGGCAGATGGGCCTAGCAAGGTTTGCAAGAAATAAAGGACTGGCTGGTAAGACTGGGCAAGTAAGAAAAAATTAGGCCAGAAAATAAGACACGGAAATTAACTGTGACCATGTGGCAATCTGGCATGTGCCTGGCAATCACGCTAGGCAAATTATTATTTTTGAACAGGTCTAATTGTGAAGATTTCTCCTGAAGCCCCCATGTAGCCATTAAAAACAATATTTTTTTTTTTTTTTTTTTGAGATGGAGTCTTGCTCGTCACCCAGGCTGGAGTGTAATGGCACGATCTTGGCTCACTGCAACGTCTGCTTCCTGGGTTCAGGCTATTCTCCTGCCTTAGCCTCCCAAGTAGCTGAGACTACAAGCACACACCACCAAGCCTGGCTAATTTTTTATATTTTTAGTAGAGATGGGGTTTCACTATGTTGGCCAAGCTGGTCTTGAACTCCTGACCTCAGGTGATCCACCTGCCTTCGACTCCTAAAGTGCTGGGATTATAGGCGTGAGCCACTGCACCCAGTCAAAAAACGAGTTTTTTAATGCAACATCACATAAAGGTAGTAATATAGATAATAAACATTTACTGACTACTTAAATATGGCCTGAGCACTGGGTTGTTTTACATGGAAAAGCCACACAACAGTCCTATAAGACATTAATGTACAAGAATAAAGGTGGGAAAAAGCCAAAACAATTTCGTAAAAACAAGAGAAATCAAGAGCTGCTATACCAGATTACAAAATACATTAATGTTCAATAACATAGTACTAGTTAAAAAAAATAGGACTATATAGCCCAGAATGATAATAGAACTTAATATCCTCCCTGTTACATTGGTGCATTTTTTTTGAGACAGGGTTTCACTCTGTTGCCCAGGCTGGAGTGCAGTGATGCCATCTCGGCTCATGGCTCACTGCAGCTTCTGCCTCCTGGGTTCAAGTGACTCTCCTGCCTCAGCCACCCAAGTAGCTGGGATTACAGGCATGTGCTGCCATGCCCAGCTAATTTTTGTATTTTTGATAGAGACAGGGTTTCACCATGTTGCCCAGGCTGGTCTTGAACTCCTGAGCTCAAGCCATCTGCCCGCCTCTTGCTCCCAAAGTGCTGGGGTTACAGGCATTGAGTTACTGTGCCCAGCCTACAATGGCGCTTTCTAAATGAGTTTTTATTTATGAGCGATCTTGTAACACATAACAATTTTAATTCCCATGCAAATGCTTTTTGCTCGTATTATACTAAGCAAGTGTGGTTAACAACTAGGAAAAACAAGTTATTTCATTGTGCATCAGACTGATGATGATATTCTGCTATCCTGTCAATACATTAACTAAAACAATAAAAACAGCTGTGTTTTATATATAAAAATGGCTCCCACCGGGTGCAGTTATCCATGGCTGTAATCCCGATGCTTTGGGAAGCCAAGAAGTATGGATTGCTTGAGGCCAGAGGATCAAGACCAGCTTGGGCAATACAGTGAGACCTCCTCTTACAATAGTAGGGAAGACATAAATCAAACTCAGTCATGACTGGCTTGAGTTGTTTAAGGTTGGCACCTAATTAGTACAGCAAAATGGGTAGTGCTGAACTTTTAATTTCCTGCTTGTTTTAGGAATATTTGGATTATATTAGTGCAATAATAGAGTTAAGAGTACCTAGTTGTAATTCCTCATTTTCAACATCATCTCTAAAGTTATAGCCTAGGTTTTCATTAATAAAATCTCTGGAGTGAAGCACCTGCTGCTGAAATTTGGGGGCAAATAACTGGAGTCTGGTGGGAATAGGAGTTCTAAAAAAGTATGTCTGGAAGGCTGTGGTCCAAGGCCTTTTCTGCTGGCTAAAAGCAGGGCCTCCAGAACCAAAGGAAACACACAGCTCTTCTTAAAATTGAAGATGTTTATGCATGAGGTGAAACAGAATTCTCTTTGGGCAAGAGATGTGCTTATGTATATAAAACAAAGAAAAACACAGAGATTCCTGGTGGCAAACCAAACAAAGCCAGAGTAATCTGGGCCCATGGAAACAGTGCCATGGTTCATGCCAAATTTCAAAGCAATCTTCCTGTTGAGGCCATTGGACACAAAATCTGAGTGATGCTGTACCCCTCAAGGATTTAAACTAATGAAAAGTCAATAAATAAAAGTGGATTTCTGCTCTTGAAAAAAAGAAAATCTCTGCAGTTTTTATAAAAATTATCTATGACTTTTAGAATTATATGACCCCACAGAAACCCAAACGTATCATTAAAGTGGTATTACAAAGTAAAGAGGAAAGGAAAAATAATAGATTTCCTAAAGAGAAAAAGATCCAGTCAGTGTATTTGGAGAGTAAGGTTAAGCAAGATATGACGTGCCTTGCTTAAAATTTAATTTAATTAAAATTAAACACCACATCTTGCTTAACCTCACCCTCCAAATAAAGTGACTTTACTGTTGCTTTCTTGATGGAAAGAAAAAACTCAGTTGACCATAGGACAATAAGAACATTCAAGTACCATAAATATCTGAAACAGAAAAAAAGAAACAAAAACCCTTTACTATTAAGACATATTAAAATAATTATTTTTTCTTATCCAGATGACTAAGATTTGAGACATTAAAATTCGTGGCTGCCAAAGTTGTGATAGACACACAGTGGCGCATGCAGTTCTATAAATTTCCTAGAGAACTATTCGGAATATTGTGAAAAATCATTAAAATGCTCATATACTTTGACTCTGGGGAAAAAAATCACTCCTAGCAATCACAACAAAAAGGAATAACCTTTTATTGACAAAGAAAGATATTCACTTCAGGATTATTTATGAGGGGGAAAAAAAGCCAAAACAACCTATTCAACGGCAGAGAACAGTCTTTCTCTCTCTATACTATACACATATACAATCGTCAATTATGTAAATATGGTTATGTATACTATGATAGAATAGCATACCTCCACTGAAGTTTTAAAGACTAATGACATGGAGGAAAGCACACAGCATATAACAACTGAAAATTTTAAATAGTAAACAACTGAAATTTTAAATAGTATATTTAAAATTTTAAGCACTAACTACAGGCGAGATGTCATGTTAATGTATTATATATTATTAAATCCAATTCCTTCTCAAACACCCTGAATACATGCTATTTAGTATATGGTACTTTCACAGAAAAGAACATTAAAAGATGACAGCAAAAATACTGCCAGTGATTACTCAGAGTGGTGAAAATGCAGAAAATATAAAATTTTCTGCAATTTAGTTTTCTCCCATGAGCTTGTATTTTAGAAATACTTTACTTTAGAAAAATGGGCTTAACATTAACTAAATTTTGTTGCATCACAACTAGTGGGAAATTATTTCTTGGGAAAAAAGCCTCGTAAGAGTCTGTGGTTAAGTAACAATTAAAAAAAAAAAAAACCCAAAATACTGTGCTGTAAATTATCCAAAATCAATTATAATTTAAAATAGGCAATTGCTTTTTGAAAAATCTCTTTACTAACAATAAAATTAAGTCTGGCTTCTTTAGAATCTCACTCCCTGATGGCAAAAGAATGAATTTTATAAAAATACGAAAATGAAGAATCACTTAGAAATTAAAGAACAAGGCAGCATTTATAAGAAGGAACACTTACTTAGGAAGATGCCTTACGAGTACATCTTTGCATATTGGCTGTTCAGCTAAAGTTAGCCAAAATTCACAGGCTTCTAAAGCCACATTTTCGTCTTGATCTTGAGTCCTCTGTAGCATGTACTAGAAACACAAGATCCTTACTATTAGTCAGTTTAAATCACACAATTAGTATCAATTCAGTCCCATTATCAAGCAAGCTTTTTACTTTATGGTTTTCAACCTAGGCATCTGAATTTTTTAAAAGTTTCCTAGGTGACTATAAAATACAGTTAAATTAAAGAAACACTGATTTAAAATGTTACCCAATGAAAAGTGTTCAGTGAATGTATTATGTTTCTGTGTAGTTTTTTTATGATACCACTGAGATTTTTGAAATGTGAATGTTAATCAAATATTAAGTCTTCTTAGAACATAAAAATAAAAACTAAGAACTCCATATATATTTCTTAAAATGAAGACTCTATAAAAGAAAAAACTGTAACATTATAAATTAGGCTCCCCAGCTGTGACCAAGCAACTGATAAAATATTTCTTCACTTTAGTTAACACTAAACTTTCAATCAGTCCTGCCTGACTTTTCAAAGAAAAAATAGGCCTACCTTATGCAGCCACGTTTCCTAAAGTTTTAGAACAGGAGTTGCTGCATACCACGAATGCTAGCTTTTTAACAGATCTTAGACTACATGCTTTAAAAAAGATCCTCCCTTCTCTCTACCATATGGAACTTCGGAAGTGAAAAGGAGACTCTAGATAACATACTACTTAAAACACTTCCAAAGTTATATAGTACATACAACTATATCCAGAAATACAAAACTCCCCACAAAGATAACTCATAATTTTAAGACAATCATAATTATTTTATAGTCCCCTCCCCACCTGGTATGCTGCATTTTCTATCTAGTATTTCTCTTAGGGGAAAGATGAGGAAAGAGCCTTTAAATTGCCAGTGTTACCTCAACTATGTTATGCATGTGAGGAAGCAGGCGATCCATTCGAACTTCGAGCAACATCACAAGCGCTCGGCACACATTTTTCCGTACCTCTGGTTCTTCATCACCAGCTAATGCAAAGAGATTCTGTTGCACAAGAAATAATTTTTTCTAGTTTTAGAAAGGCTTATACACAAATAAGTAATCTGCAAGCTGGTGACATTTAAAGAAACCCTACGAAGATAACATACCAAAAAGTGACTCAATGGCCTACAATATTAATTATAAGAATTAAATGTGAAATAGCTGACAAAGATTATGATTTTGATAAAAGATGAACAGCTGTTCTTTTCTGATAGAGTACAATCAGTTGTATTTTGGGGAAATTTTTAATTTTTAAGAAACCATGTCATTAGGACATAGGACCATTTGTTTGCCCACCCAGAAGCAGAGACAAAAGACTTCCCTACCAACCCTGATTTTTAAGGTGAGAGGTGGTAATAGATTCAAGTTCTATAAAAAGGTGATATAGATGCAATAATCGACAAATATTAATATATACTGATTTTCTAACTTAACCCTAAACTGATGTTGTTCAATAAAAATAATATTAAATATTATGCTGTTCCCTACAAGTACGTCTGCAAGGTAAAAATACAATGTCTGAATGGACAATAGGCTATTTTGTTTAATCTTCAAAACTCTTAACATGTTATTATTCAATTTTACAAATAAGGAAACACATTAATAGAAGTTAAGTAGCTTGATAACCAGCAGAAGATCTGAATCTGGCTTTCACGGAATCAGAGTCCATACTCATTTCCTTATACCAACAAGCTTCCACTAGAAGAAAAAGACATCTCTCAGAGCGGGGATGTGAAAGAAAAACACAATGAAGCCTTCCTCATGTCACACATAGTCTTACTTTATTTACACATACGTGTATTAAAAGCAGTAAAACAAGCATTTAAAAAATAAGTAAAATCCAATGTGTCCCACTGTCTTTTTTCAGGAAATCACAGAAATCTCTACAAAATGAACCTAAAGTCTCATTACAAGAAATTCAGAGGAGAAATTCAATGATCAAATGGGACACTATCTGAAGTACTATTGCAGCATTTTTAAAATGTTGATTTACCCAAGTCCTGCTTCCACATTTGACCCTCTCAAAACTAGATAGTTCCTGTTTTAATCATGTGTTTTACATAGAGAAGAGCACTGTTTTCCCAGCAGGCATTGCCATTAACAGTGCATCTTCCATTAAATTTTATTAAAAGATTTCATTAATTTACTCTAGAGAACAGCAACTGGGTTGGGGGTGGAGATATCCAATGCCATCATCTTGCATTTGTCACTTTTGTTACTACTGTCAATGAATACCTAGCTTTGCCAAGGTTACACATTATAGCCATGTACTAGTAACCAACAAACTTTTCATCAATACATTAGACTTAGCAGACTTGATACCATAGAAACAATGGCAAGTGAAGAAAATCAGTTTACTTATTCACTTGGCAAATTGTTATTGAGGGCCTACTATATGTTAGAGGCACTTCCTCCAGAGGTTTACTGTTTTTGTAGGGTGGAGAATTGGCTAAATTCTGTAGGACTATCAAGTAGTAAACAAATATTAACATATTATTTAATAGTAAAGCAAAATATTTTAAAATGTTAGAAAACGCTTCTGCCTCACTTGCTGAGTACAGTCCTATGAAATTTTTATTTTCAGAGAGAATTCAATTTCATTTATTTTAGATTATATTTCCTTATAAGGTGCTTGTATGTCTATCACTGTCCCCTTTATTAAACTGTGAAAGAGTAATACAAAAGGAAACACCAGGATAATTACAACAGAAATAGCACTATTAATACTTTAATAGCTAACATGAAGTACTTGCTTACTCCGTGGCAGGCACTGTTCTAATTTACTTTTATCAACTAGGTGTATAACAATCCAAGAAGGTAGGTCAATTACTGACTCATTTTACAGATATAAAGAAAACATCAGTTAAATAAAGTATCTAAGGTTACAAAGCTACTAAACTGAGAAGCTGGGATTTGAACACCAATAGTCTACTCCAGACCTCTAGTATTACCCACTACATTATACTACCTCTAGACTAGACTAGATTAGACTGAAAGAAAACACCTTGTAGGCATAAAGTTTAAGTATCCCTAGTATCAAGCACAGCATCTGTCCCACAGTAGGTAGTAAGTCAGTAGAACTATTTAAGACACATTTTGGTTTTAACTTGTAAATGGTTAAAGGATCTTTATGGCTACTACTCTTAGTCTATTGGTAAAAAATGCTCAGAAAGAAGCTGGTCAATTTAAGTGACAAGAAAAAAAGTAACATGACCTCCCCCCTCTGCCGACTCTTCCTTATAATTTCCCAACAGTAATATCAACAGTCTGACTTCTAAGGGACTTTTAACAATTCCATTTCATGAAAATAAAAGTGAAGGCGCTTAAGGAACTTTAACAATCCTTTTAATTGTTATCAAGTAGCAGAGATTTTGAAAAGAAATTGTGGTGCTCATGGTTCCTGGCCAGAAAATTATGCTCTTTTCTTTCCACTTTTATTGGAAAGTTCAAAATGCCTTTAAGAGTCTATTTTTCCTGATGTCTCTAATTTTACAATGGAAACCAATGGAAAATATTGTCCTTGTAGTCTGTGCCTTCAGATTCTACCAATCAACTTAATCTAACCTCACCAATTTTTCACATTTCAAAAACTGCATGAGCTGAGGGACTTGGTTTCCATATGCAATGTGAACAGTATATTGAAGGAAAAATTTTTAAAGTAGTCAAGATACTAAACACCCCCCGCCACCAAAATCAGTGCTTGTATAATGATACAAGTAGAAAAATTAGTAAAAGAAGTGCTTTCTCAGCTAACAAAAATTACAATCTATCCCATATCCAGTTTTAATACTATCAGAAATCATTTAATTAAATACTGACTTTAGAATTATAAGTGATTATTTTGTTTTAAAGCAAAATGTAGTTAGTATCACCTAATCTTCTCAAAAAAAAAAAAAAAGTTGGGGGTTGGGGGGAGGGAGACAAGAACAAGTCTTACCTCAATAAAAGAATCAATGTGCAACATTAGAGCTTGAGTCCTACTGATGATAAACTGATTGACACATGCAACAGCGTGAGACCTAGAAACAAAGTTTAAAATTTAACATATGCTCATTGTAACTTTGTTCTATCTACAGAAAATTGGCAAAAACATTCCTCCATAAAAGTATTATGGTATATGTCTATCAATATACCCACTAAAAATAATAAGTCACACTTCTGTATCAACAAAGAAAGAATATGAATGATATAGTAAGTGCAAAATGCAAGTTGCAGGGCACCATGTATTTCTAAGCAACTGAAAAATGTTAGAAAGGACATGGCGCAAATTTTTAATAGGGCATACCCCCTAAAGAGTGGAGGTTGAGTGAGGGGCATAGTTGTTTTTTAGATACCTATAGATTTAAAAATGATAGGTAAACATTCCTTTTGAAAGTAAAAATGGAGAGTAGTCCATGTGTTCTGGCATATGCAATTCAATTGCTCAGCAGTTCTTATTGGCACCACCTTTAAAAATTTACTCTTAATTCAATCATTTCTCACTGCTTTCATTTCTCTCATCCAAGCCATGATCTCTGATCTCTTACCAGAGTTAGTGAAATAGGCTGTAATTGGTTTCCCAACTTCCACTGTGCCAAACCCCACTACAGCCTGTTTGACACACACAGACCACAATATACTCTCATTCAGATTGCTGCAATAAAACTTAATCTACTTTCTCTACAAAAGGTCAAACAGTAAATATTTTAAGCTTTATGTGCCACATAAACACCTTTGTCATTTTTTTCCCTCTTAATTACAACCTCTTAAATTAAAAAATCATCCTTACCTTGCAGGTCATGGGCTAAATTTGGCTCCATGGGACATAGTTTGCTGACCACTTGCCTAGATATTCCTTTATACTGTGGCTCCTCCCTTATTCCCTAACTTCAATTCCCATCATGCTGCTACAGACCAAAGTTTCTTTCTTCTGTCACTCTAAAAAGCTGATTCCTAATTCCAGAGCCACTTGCTGTTCTCTTAAACATTCTTCACCATCTTTCATAGACTCACTTCCTTACTTTGTTCAGTCTTTGTACAAATGTTTCCTTTACAGAGAACCATTTATATCAAGTATCTCTGAATCACTGTCTATCCCTGATCTCATTATTTTTCCATCATACTTATCACTGTCTGAAATTATATTACTTATTCATTATCTGTCCTATCTCCTCTTCTGAAATATAACCTCAAGAGAACCTTTGTCTCAACCACTGTGCCAAAAACACAGTTGGTTTTTGGTTCTGCAGTTACAGCAAAGCACACAAACATTTACTAAGGTAACATTAAGTGAAAAAAGCATACTATGGGGAGCTCAACCACTTAAATGTGCAGCACAGGGTAAGCTGCTTATGCTTTAAAGTCTGTTTTTTTTTCATTCTATAAAACCACCACTGGCTGGGTGCAGTGGCTCATGCCTGTAATCCTAGCACTTTGGGAGGCCGAGGCAGGTGGATCACTTGAGGTCAGGTTCGAGACCAGCCTGGCAAACATGGCGAAGCCCTGCCTCTACTAAAAATACAAACATTAGCCAGGCCTGGTGGTGCATGCCTGTAATCCCAGCTACTTGGGAGGCTGAGGTAGGAGGCAGGAGAATCTCTCAAACACGGGTGGCGGAGGTTGCAGTGAGCCAAGATCGTGCCACTGCACTCCAGCCTGGGCGATGGAGTGAGACTCAGTCTCAAAAAACAAACAAACAAACAAACAAACAAAACTCTGTCTCGAAAACAACCACAACTCTGTCTCGAAAACCACCACCACCACCACCACCACCACCACCTACAATTCATCCATTTGTTGGGGGGATTAAACTAAATGAGCTAATATATATGTTAAGTACTTGGCATAATAAACAAATGGAAAAAAAATACAATAAAGTCTTTTACAGGGCCTTTAAATTAAGGCCCTTTTAACTTGCATTTTTTTGTGTGTGCATGTGAGGCTAAATTTAAAAGGCAGAAATTTATCCTATCCCCAGCCTCCAGAGGCACCTATTACTAGCTTCCCCAAATAATTTTCAGAAACTTGGGAACAGTCAGGATTTACATTTTAAATTAAAAGTAACAGTTTGACATGCTTTCTTTAGAAGTTTAACATAGTTTCTGTACATCAGCAATGAAGAAAAAAACTAGAAAAACTTAAATGCTACCATTTACTATAGTATCAGAAGACCAAGTGCCTGGGAATACATTTAATGTAATATGCTCAAGGCCTCTAAAAAGAAAAGTATAAAACTTTATTAAAAACAAGCAATTGCCAGGCACAGTGGCTCACGCCTGTAATCCCAGCACTCTGCGAGGCCAAGGTAGGCGGATCACCTGAGGTCAGGAGTTTGACACCAGGCTGGCCAACATGATGAAACCCCATCTCTACTAAAAATAAAAAAATTTAGCTGGGAGTGATGGCATGTGCCTGTAATCCCAGCTACTTGGGAGACTGAGGCAGGAGAATCGCTTGAACCCGAGAGGTGGAGGTTGCAGTGAGCAGGGATCATGCCACTGCACCCCAGCCTGGGAGACAAGAGCGAAACTCCGTCTTGAAAAAAAAAAAAAAAAAAAAAAAGCAGCAGCAATTAGTATTGTGAAAATGACTATTTCTCCTAAATTGATCTATAGATTTAATGTTATTCCAATGTAAATTCCAAGATTTTTCATAAAACTTGACAATTCTAGAATGTATAAGGAAGAGAAAAGGCATTCCTACTGTCCTACTGTAAGCTCTAAATATCATTTCCCAATAAAAGGAATCAGATGTAGGCCAGAAATACAGATGACAAACTTGGAATGCTATGGATATCTGTGTATATAAAAATAAAACTTCCTTGTATTGATTTCTGGTGATCAAAGGCAATAACAAAGGCAGAATAATTACTCACGTCACGTATTCATAATCAATACCAACTTGTTAATTAGATCTGATACCATATAAATGGCATTTGTTGTGAAGAATGAATTTTTTTTCCAATATGATCTCTTCCTTATAGATTATAAGAAAATATTCCCCCTAGAAGCAACTGAGATATTTAGTAAGCTCCGAGTAATTCTGCTAAATCATGTATATTTTCAATTCTAGTATCTCATCCCGAAAGTCTACATATTTCAGGTCAAATTCTGATTTTTAGCTTTTCTTCAACATATATTTTTATAAGGTAAAACTCTTTAAAGAAGTTGTTTTATTTATTTATTTTTGAGATTGAATCTCACTCTGTCACCCAGGAGGGAGTACAGTGGCGCAATGTCAGCTCACTGCAACCTCTGCCTCCTGGGTTCAAGTGTTTCTCCTGCCTCAGCCTCCCAAGTAACTGGGATTACAGGTGTATGCCACCATGCCAGGCTAACTTTTGTATTTTTAATAGAGGTAGGATTTTGCTATGTTGGCCAGGCTGGTCTCAAACTCTTAACCTCAGGTGATCCACTGGCCTCGGCCTCCCAAAGTGCTGGGATTACAGGTGTATGCCACCATGCCAGGCTAACTTTTGTATTTTTAATAGAGGTAGGATTTTGCTATGTTGGCCAGGCTGGTCTCAAACTCTTAACCTCAGGTGATCCACTGGCCTCGGCCTCCCAAAGTGCTGGGATTACAGGTGTGAGCCACTATGCCCTGCCGTTTATGATTATTTTACAAGTTCTGCCAAATTTATATGTTGTAAAACTGTAGGCCTTATTTTCATTCCATTTTGGGACAGAATGTAAATTTAACTTATAAATAGGAGTAACGTCAAACAAAATTTTTTTCAAGTTGAGATATCCCAGAACACAATAAAAATACGGAAAAATTATCTTTATATAGTTTGAGCTGTTTGTACAACTCTTTCCTTGCTGTGTAGAAATTCACTGCAATATGTCATAAACTTTTTTTATTTTGAGACGGAGTTCTGCTCGTTGCCCATGCTGGAGTTGCAATGGTGTGATCTCGGCTCACTGCAACCTCCACCTCCTGGGTTCAAGTGATTCTCCTGCCTCAGCCTCCTGAGTAGCTACAATTACAGGCGCCTGCCACCATGTCCAGCTAATTTTTTGTATTTTTAGTAGAAACACGGTCTCACCATGTTGGCCAGGCTAGTCTTAACCTCCTGACCTCAGGTGATCCACCGCCCCCAGCCTAAACTTTAAGTAACTACAATTTGTTAAAAAAAAAGAAAAAAGCCTCAAACGCTCCAATTTTTGCTCTAAGACATACCAGAATTCAATTTGAAGCTTTAGTCATGAAACAGCAATGGAATAAAATAGAGGGCCCATTAATAGACCTACGCACAGATATAACTAAGCATGTAACACAGGTGACATTTTAAACTGATGGGGAAAAGGAAGGGACTATAAAATAAATGTGACAACAAGAAAAAGTTACCTAAATGGAAAAGACAGAATATTTCTCTCATAGCACACACCCACAAATGCCAGATATATTAAGCTCTTAAATGTCAAAGAGCCCTTAACATTTTAAACTCTTAGTAAAGACAAAAAGGGATTAAGATATTCTCTACACACATAACCGATAAAGGATGAGAATTCCTGTAAATCAATGGAGTACAAATAACCTAGTAGAAAAAAGGACAAAAGACAAGAACAAGATAAAGGCAATAAACATACAAGATCTTCAACATCATTAATGATAGTAAAGAGTATCATCAAGACCATAATGAAACACCAAATAGCTATTTGATTGGCAACACTTAAAAAATACGCTAATTGTCATGCAATGGAGTATTACAGGAGTCAAAATGAGCTATATTGATTCAGTACAGATGAATCTTAATGACATAATATTAAAGTTGCCTATGTTTACATTCAGTACTGTGCAGTTCTTATAATGCTAAAAACTAAGATATATAACACCCTTTGCATATGCATGCAATAAAATTATCAAGAAATGTAAGGAAAGTATGAAATTGGGGTTTAGATGTAGACTGTTGTCAAGGTCTTCATTTTGTTTCAGGTGGTGGATCTGACTGCTTATGTTATTAAAAATAACTAATATATAACTAAAGGCTAAATACGAGTAGGCCATGATGAGAATGTCTTCAACTAAGAATAATAATTCAATTCTGAGTACCTCAAGTCTGATAAAATGGTTCTTATTTTTAAATTGTTTAGTCATCACCTATAGAACTAGGCAATACAGTGTAGTTTCCTATACTCTAATTCTATTTTCTTGAAGTCCAACAGTTATGTTGAGAGGGAAGAATGCTTAAGAGTACATAGTAAATGCCAGTTAAACTACATTAATAAGGTATTAAATAATGTAGAATAAGATCACGTTAAAGATGGATGATACATTTAGTATATATTTGTAGCAGATAGTTACTTACCCAAATATACATTAAAATGAAGAATGCTTTTTTTTTCTGTACAACAGAATCTCAAATGGGTATTAATCAACATTCACGGAATGGAATTTTTTTTTTTGCAGACAGGGTCTTATTCTATCACTCAGACTAGAGCACAGCGGCTCACTGCAGCCTTGAATTCCTGGGTTCAAGTGATTCTCCCGCTTGAGCCTCCAGAGTAGCTAGGACTATAGGCACACACCCCACTACACTCAGCTAATTTTCTAAACTTATTTTTTGTAGAGAAAGGGTCTTGCTATGTTGCCCAGGCTGGTCTCTAACTCCTGGCCTCAAGCAATCCTCCTGCCTCAGCCTCCCAAAGTGCTGTGATTTTAGGTGAAATATTTCTGAATTGCTCAACTTTACCTAATGTTTTAATCAAATGACCATCTACAAAATAAAAACCGTGAAAAAAAATTTATGAATAATATCCAGCAATGGTGTATCAATTACCAGAAATATGGTTTTTGGATTTTTCTGTTTTTCTTTTTTGAGACAAGGTCTCGCTCTGTTGCCCAGGCTGGAGTGCAGTGGTACCATCTCAGCCCACTGCAAACTCATCGTCCTAAGCAATCCTCCCACCTCGGCCCTCCAAGTAGCTGGGACCACAGGTGTGTGCCACCATGCCCAGCTAATTTTTATATTTTTTGTACAGATGGGGTTTCGCCACATTGCCCAGGCTGGTCTTAAACTCCTGAGCTCAAGCAATCCACCCACCTGGGCCTCCCAAAGTGCTGGGATTACAGGCATGAGCCACCAGGCCCAGCTGTTTTTTCAATTACTGAGAATCAGTCACAAAATGTGAAGTACGTATATTACCACATTTGCATTATCTTAGTTAAAATGTTAAAAGGGGGAAACATCGTGGAAACGCGAACTCTTGTTAACTATGCCAGAAATAACATTATTATTATAATGTTACAATAATGGAAAACCAAATACCTGCATGCTCTCACTTATAAGTGGGGGCTAAACACTGGGTACACATCGAGGTAAAGATGGGAACAACAGACACTGGGGAATACAAGAAGGGGGAGGGAGAGGGCCAAACTCGCTAATGGGTACTATGTTTACCACCTAGGTGATGGATTCATTTGTACTCTAAACCCCCAGCATCATGCAATAGGACTTTGTAACAAACCTGCATATATATGTACCCCAATTCTAAAATCAAAGCTGAAAAGAAAAAAACCACAACTAATCTCGGCCTTAAATAAAGCAAGTTAGAAGACGCCTGTTAACTACCACAAATATAATTAACTACTGTAAAAGGCAGAGAACTTTTATCACGTTTAACGAAAATTTCCTCACAATCAACATTTCACAGGTTTTGTTACTGAAGTAGTAAACTTCAATTACATAAGTTCACCTCTCTGGAACATCCAATATCTTTTGCTAATCTCAAAAATACCAAGTAATGAAAACTAAGGTAATGGTCAGGTTTATATCAGAGTTAATGAATTAGTACTGGCAATATAAGTACCTTATTTTTGGACTACTATGCTTGAAGAACTGTAAAAATTTGGGAATCATGATGTTGAGAGGACGATCTAAAACATCACTATCTAAAATCTCAGCAGAATCTTCACAAATCTTCTGAAGGGCACCAAATGCTCCCTGTAAGAGACACATTTAAATTATTCGAATTTGTTAAAAATGAAGCCATATGAAAACAAGCTGAAGAATGCTGACTAATTTGTATGGATTAATGTTCTCAGCCCACATAAAATGCCTTATAAAATCTGTAAATTTATTTATTTATTTATTTATTTATTTTGAGACGGAGTCTGGCTCTGTTGCCCGGGCTGGAGTGCAGTGGCCAGATCTCAGCTCACTGCAAGCTCCGCCTCCCGGGTTCCCGCCATTCTCCTGCCTCAGCCTCCCAAGTAGCTGGGACCACAGGTGCCCGCCACCTCGCCCGGCTAGTTTTTTGTATTTTTAGTAGAGACGGGGTTTCACCGTATTAGCCAGGATGGTCTCGATCTCCTGACCTCATGATCCGCCCGTCTCGGCCTCCCAAAGTGCTGGGATTACAGGCTTGAGCCACCGCGCCCGGCCTAAATCTGTAAATTTAATCGCTCAATTTTTTTTTTTTTTTTTGAGACAGAGTCTTGCTCTTTCGCCCAGGCTGGAGTGCAGTGGCGCAATCTCGCATCACCGCAACTTCTGCCTCCTGGATTCAAGTGATTCTCCTGCCTCAGCCTCCTGAGTAGCTGGGATTACAAGTACCTGCAATTGTGCCTGGCTAATTTTTGTATTTTTAGTAGAGATGGGGTTTCATCGTGTTGGCCAGGCTGGTCTCAAACTCCTGACCTCAGCTGGTCTGCCTGCCTTGGCCTCCCAAAGAGCTGGGATTACAGGCATGGGCCACCACGCCTGCCCTAATATTCAATTTTAAAACAAATTATAGTATCATCGAGTATGTAAACATCTCAGTTAAAATACAAGGGTATATTTTAGTTTTAGCATTAAATGACTTAGAAGTGGAGGATATTTTGGTTGGCAGGAGAAGTAAATACCAGTTTGTTTAAATTAAATATAAAACTACATTTACATAGAAGAGTAATCACCATAATACTTTTCTTTTTGAAGCACAGAGAGGTCATTAATACCATTAAAAAGTTACTTAGGCCGGTGCGGTGGCTTAAGCCTGTAATTCCAGCACTTTGGGAGACCGAGGCAGGTAGATTACCTGAGGTCAGCAGTTTGAGACCAGCCTAGCCAGCATGGTGAAACCCCGTCTCTACTAAAAACAAAAAAATTAGCTGGGTGTGGTGATGCATGCCTGTAATCCCAGCTACTCCATAGGCTGAGGCATGAGAATCGTTTGAATCCTGGAGGCAGAGGGTACAGTGAGCCAAGATCGCACCACTGCACTCCAGCCTGGGTGAGAGGGCAAAACTCTGCCTCAAAAAAGTAAAGTTACTTAGATATAAAAGTATTCACCGGGTAACTGGTGACAAAATCTGTTGCAAGGGCAGGCAATGCAAATTGGCGACCATTTTCCTAAAACCATTTTAATACTAAAGGGGAAAATCCAGAGCCTTTGCACGTAACATATAACCTACTAGTTACCCACCCACCTACTTTACTGTTTATATTATATAATTCCAACAGCAGCAACTTGATGCTTATTCTCCATAGTACAGTTTTAACGTGTCCAACAGAAGGTAAAATCCTTTAAGGAAATTACTCAACATCCTTTCAGATTTTATAATATCTTAAAAATATTAAATCTGAAAATATTTTTAAGTCTAAAATTTAATCAATATATTAAATTTCAGTCTTCAATTTAATATGCGTTAAATATCAGGAATTTTAATTGTCATGCTAAAATAGTCATATTTAATTATTAAGGTTTTTTTTTTTTTTTTAAAAAAAACTTTACTTCTGAAACCCTATTACATCAAATTAAATGTGAACTTGTTACCCATGTGGCAATTAAAAATTTCAAATAAGAACAAACATTTAGCTATCACTACATACCAACATCTGGAAAACCACTATCTTTAGTGCAGATGGATGGGAATATTGTTTATTTACAGTATGACTTCTATGTAGTACACCAGCTCAACAATTTCACAATTACTGCAGCTTAAATTTTTTATTCTTCGAAAGTGCTTGCTTAAAATTTTGATCTTTTTTTTTGAGACGGAGTCTTGCTCTGTCGCCTGGGCGGGAGCGCAGTGGCACAATCTCGGCTCACTGCAAGCTCTGCCTCCCAGGTTCAAGCCATTCTCCTGCCTCAGCCTCCTGAGTAAGCTGGGACTACAGGAGCCAACCACCACGCCCGGCTAATTTTTTGTGTTTTTAGTAGAGATGGGATTTCACCTTGTTAGCCAGCATGGTCTCCATCTCCTGTCCTTGTGATCCGCCTGACTCAGCGTCCCAAAGTGCTGGGATTACAGGTGTGAGCCACCACGCCTGGCCTGATCTTTTATGTTACTACCATCACACCAAAGCACTATTTAAATGCAATCAACTGTCACATGATTACTTACTTAGCTTTTCTGTAATCTTATCAGTGTATTTCCAAAGTTTGTTTTTTTTTTTTTGAGATGGATTCTTGCTCTGTTGCCCAGGCTGGAGTGCAGTGGCGCAATCTCGGCCCACTGCAATCCCTGCCTCCTGGGTTCAAGTGATTCTCCTGACTCAGCCTCCCGAGTAGCTGAGATTACAGGCATTCGACACCATGCCTGGCTAATTTTTGTGTTTCAGTAGAGATGGGGTTTCACCATGTTGGTCAGGCTGGTCTCTCAAACTCCTGACTCAAAAGATCCGCCTGCCTCAGCCTCCCAAAGTGCTGGGATTATAGGTGTGAGCCACCACACCTGGCCCCAAAGCATTTTTATGTATATGGGAACGAACAATTTTTCTTTTTCTTTCAAGGAGCAAGAAAAGTGGCTTTAAGCAGTACTTAGCTAACTCCCCCTTCTCTCTATCTTCTCTATTTCCCTGTATCCACCTGTTGGGCAACAAACTGCCATGTCCTAAAACCACCTTATGTGTGGTTAGGTGTATTTTTTTCTGGAGATAGGGTCTTGCTCTGTCACCCAGGCTGGAGTGCACTGGTGTGATCTCACCTCACTGCAGCCTCCACCTCACAGGTTACAGTGATCCTCCCACCTCAGCCTCCTGAGTAGCTGGGACCACAGGCGCACATCACCACACCTCACCAATTTTTTCTAATAGGGTTTCACCACATTGCCCAGGCTGGTCTTGAACTCATGCAATCCACCCAGCTAGGCCTCGGGATTACAGGTGTAAGCCACCATGCCCGATCGGTTTTCTTTCTCTTTTAGGTTAGGTTATTCCTGTGGGTTTTTTTGGGTTGTTGACAGGTTATTCCTGTGCCTGCCCTGCCTTCAATCTCCGCTCTCTGAGAGGTAGAGGAGTCACTGCTTTATAGAGTCAAGACACGGAATATGGTTTCCACATAAAATAGATTTCCACCCAAATTGGAAGCCTGCTAATAGATACTTACAGTATCCACTAACCATGAGAAATCATTCTCTCTCCCCAAACAAAAAGGATGCTAGTGATCTAATCAGTGGCAAAGAACACCCACAGGTCAGAGTTAACATATGATTAAAACTAAGACAGGCCGGGCGCGGTGGCTCAAGCCTGTAATCCCAGCACTTTGGGAGGCCTAGACGGGTGGATCATGAGGTCAGGAGATGGAGACCATCCTGGCTAACATGGTGAAACCCCGTCTCTACTAAAAAATACAAAAAAGTAGCCGGGCGAGGTGGCGGACGCCTATAGTCCCAGGTACTCAGGAGGCTGAGGCAGGAGAATGGCGTGAACTGGGAGGCGGAGCTTGCAGTAAGCTGTGATCCGGCCACTGCACAACAGTCTGGGTGACAGAGCGAGACTCCGTCTCAAAAAAAAAAAAAAAAAAAAAAAAAAAAAATTAAAACTAAAACTAAGACAATGGTCTGGTGCAGAGGCTCACACCTGTAATCCAAACACTTTGGGAGGCTGAGACAGGTGGATCATTTGAAGCCAGGGGTTCAAGACCAGCCTGTCCAACATGGGGAAACTCCATCTATACTAAAAACTCCATCTATACAAACACATTAGGCAGGCGTGGTGGCTCATGCCTGTAATCCCAGCTACTCGGGAGGCTGAGGTGGGAGAATCACTTGATTCTGGGAGGCAGAGGTTGCAGTGAGCTGAGATTATGCCACTGCACTCCAGCCTAGGCAACAGAGCGAGACTCTGTTTAAAACAAACAAAAAAACAAAAAAATGAAGACAAGTTTAGTGAAGTGCAGTTGCTCATGCCTGTAATCCCAGCACTTTGGGAAGCTGAGGCTGGAGAATTGCTTGAGCTCAGGAGTTCGGGGTCAGCCTGAACAACAGCGTGACCCCATCTCTACCAAAAACAAAGAAAAAATTAGTCTAGCATGGTAGCACATGCCTGTAGTCCCTGCTACCTGGGAGGCTGATGTAGGAGAATTGTTTGAGCCCAGGAGGTTGAGCTATGATGGTGCCACTGCACTCCAGCCTGGCAACAGAGTGAGATCCTGTCTTTAAAAACAAAAACAAAAACAAAAACCACCAAAAAAACGACAAAAGCACAAGTTCAGCATCCCTTAGATATCACATAAGAGGCATAAAAACAATTTAGAGAAGTTAAAAAAGTACTCAAGGTCCAGGAATTTGGTAAATTTCAGTCTATCTTTAACTGATTAAGCTTGACACAAACTGTTTATTACATACGTATACATCCAAGAATAATTTTATCACAGAAAAACAAGATACATCCTTGTATGAAATATAGTAAAAGAGGTTTATAATGTAAGTTTTTACAGAAAAATAAATGATTTACAAATGTAATATAACACAAAGGTAACTTTAGGTTTCTAAGTTTTGAGAAGCTGTATGTTTCGTAGGAATTATTTTCCCCCAAATCTGCTAATACATAACATGACAAGAAAAATAGAAAAAACCCAATTATATATGAAACCAATATCCTTACCTCACAAGTATTGTAATCTTCAGAATCCAACAGGCTACAGAGTTTTGGTAAGAGGTCAGGCCAATTCTGCAATTCTCCCTTGGAGGCTATAGTTGTGATCAAAATACCTTGAACGAAAACACACTTCTTTAGGAAATCCAACAGCATTATGTTAGGTATTGCCATGTGAGTAACTGTATGTACAAACACTTTATGTAAATAATAACATTTGGCTAGATGTGGTGGCTCATGCCTGTAATCCCAGCATTCTGGGAGGCCTAGGTGGGTAGATCTCTTGAGCCCAGGAATTCCAGACGAGCCTGGGCAACACGGTGAAACCCCGTCTCTACTAATAATACAAGAAAATCAGATGAGCATGATGATATGCACCTGTGATCCCAGCTATTCAGGAGGCTGAAGTGAGAGGATCACCCGAGTCAAGGAGGTCAAGGCTGCAATGAGCCATGATTACGAGACCGCACTCATGCCCAGGCAGAGTGAGACCCTGTCTCAAAAAAAATTAGTAACCCTCACCGACGACACCCATATCACCATTGCATATCTTGTGGGGAAAAAACCTCACAGAAACCAGATATGTTTCTAATACTGTTTTTCAACATTTCACCCTCTAAGGGTTTTTGAGTTAAATTTACCAAGTATAAAACTGCAACTTCTTTTTCTGCCATACTACCAAGAATAGTTCCACCAATTAAAATTAATTCTAATGGCTGGGCACGGTGGCTCATGCCTGTAATCTCAGCACTTTGGGAGGCTGAGGAGGGTGGATCACATGAGGTTGGAAGTTCGAGACCAGCCTCATCAACATGGAGAAACCCCATCTCTACTAAAAATACAAAATTAGCCGGGCATGGTGGCGCATGCCCGTAATCCCAGCTACTCAGGAGGGTGAGACAGGAGAATCGCTTGAAACCGGGAGGCGGAGGTTGCAGTGAGGCGAGATCACGCCATTGCACTCCAGTCTGGGCAACAAGAGTGAAACTCTGTCTCAAAAGAAAAAAATAATAATTCTGATTTATCCATACGGAAGAGTAGAAAGAAAGTATACCAAAATGTTAGCAGCACTTAACACTGGGTGATGAACTTACGAGTCTGTTAGGTTCAAATAAAAGACACATTAAGAGGCTAAAAATAGCTCCCTGACTTAATCTGGAACCAGAGACAAGGAACATGGTAGGAAAAACTTAAGTGGATAAGCATCACTTGAGAATAATTCTACATGTTTCACTGCTTACAACACTCTCCCTCATGTAGGCAGGCTACATAATCCTAAAACAGTTCCCACTTACTGGATCAAGAATGAGTCGCTAGAGAGGCGATCTTGGAGGCTGGGTGGCCCAGGCTCACTGATCATGTTGTTCTGACTGAACAGATTATCTCAACTGTGTTGTGCAGCTGAGTTGTGATAGTCAATGAATTATGCAAATACACACAAATGTAAGGAAAGTTTTGTGTTAATACAAACACAAGGACAACAGAAAGGTTTTGTGTTAATATTTTTTTCTGCCTTAGTAAACATATTAGTGATATAATATGCTTAGTGATTATGGATCTTTCAGTGCCAGAAGAGTATAAACTCTGACAACAGAAAAATTATATGCATTCTAAGCTGCAAAATATGAGTGTGCAAAAAGGAAAAAAGGAAACTCTTCATAGGGTTATTTTGAAAATTCAACTGGATATATACAAAATGCCTGACATCTAGTAAACACTCAATGACTATTACTGAACAGCAAATATTACTGTGTATATAAATTTTCTACCTTTAGTTTTGAGAAGGTTACTCCCAATGATAAAGAACTAAAAAAGAATCTAGAAAGTAAAGCTCCTGGCAAATTTACTCTTCACACACACAAAAATTAAATTGTATAGTAAGAATTAATGTACTGATAGCATTTTCAAGATATAGCCCTTACTTAATAAAATAGCCTTCCATTAAGATCCAAAAGCAGCAAGACCTGATCCTTCCTGCAAATTAGTCTTTCCTAAAGTTAAAATATAAAAGAACTAAGGGAATGAGAAAGATCTGAATCTGTCTAAAAGAAACCAAGCATGACTTAAAAAAGACTACAAACAAGCAATAAATCACAACAATTAAACCCAATCTACAACTTGGTACTAACGAACTGCTCACGTTCATTACTTCTGTTAGCAGAACACTAAAGAATGTTGATGTACTAACAAACTTACCTGCACCCATCATCTCACCCACACATGAAGAAGCATCTAATACCTAGCACAGCTGCAAAAAGTGGGAAGTGACACATATTTCTCAGTATTTACAAGAAATACAGGAATGAAATCAGTGTGCTTGGCAACAACTACTAAAATCTTAAAAAGTTTAAACACACTTTGACCCAATAATGCCACTTACACGAATTAATCCTACAGAAATTTGCCTGTAGATGTACAAACACATACAAGAGAATATTCATTGAAATAATAAAATTACAAACAAACTATATACTCTCTAAACAAGAGAAACATCTTTACCTCATCTAATGAATTACCCAACAGTCATTAAGATGTGGTCCCTTCCAAACAGACTTCCTTGGTAAGACTCCCAACATGTATTGTTAAGGTTAATAAAAATTTTTAAAGCCAAAGCTGCAAGTCTATTTTTATAATCAGTAATCTTTTAATTAAGATATTTAAGTATTGTAAATATTATTAATAGGTGCTAAGAAATACAAAAATAACACATGGTCCTTGCCCTTAAGGAGCTCAGTCAGGCACTCTCTGACCCCAACACGTGACATGGTCTGGGGACATTTTTGGTTGTTACAACAGGGTATATGGCTGCTACTGGTACCTAGTGGGTACAGGTCAGGTGTGCTGATTAACATCCTGTAGTGCACAGACAAAATAGCCCAACAACAAAGAATTATCCAGTCCAAAATGTTAAGTGCTGAGGTTGGAAAACTCGGGTCTAGAGGAACAGAGTCCTACATTAACTGATAATGCAGAGTCGGAGTACTTGCATGACTATACATACACCAAGAATTTTCTGTGAAGGTTACTAATTGATGAAAAGCCTGTTGCCAATTCTTAGAAATGATTTTCAGAAACCCCAAAAAATTATTTCACTTACAAAATATGTTCCTGGAAGTGTTTTACATCTTTTTCTCATGTAAACAAAGATTAGGCAATTTAGGTGATTAAAAAAACAACCACCTTCCCAGATTTGTTGGAAAGCACCAACGTGTTTAAATAAACTCATCAATTTTCCTGAAGCAAAACAAACAAAACAACAAAATTATGAAATATTTTAGAGTGGTTTTTTTTTTTTTTGAGACGAAGTCTTGCTCTGTAGCCCAGGCTGGAGTGCAGTGGCGCGATCTTGGCTCACTGCAAACTCCACCTCCCGGGTTCATGCCATTCTCCTGTCTCAGCCTCCTGAGTAGCTGGGACCACAGATGCCTGCCACCACACCCGGCTAATTTTTTGTATTTTTAGTAGAAACGGGGTATCACCGTGTCAGTCAGGATGGTCTCGACCTCCTGACCTCATGATGCCTGCGCCTTGGCCTCCCAAAGTGCTGGGATTACAGGCGTGAGCCGCCGCACCTGGCCAATACTTTAGAGTCTTAATGCTGTGCCCCCAAAATAATTTCTCCCCTCTTTGGGAAGAATCTGTCAATCACACCTTTCACCACCTTCACTAATACATATAGCTGGAAGGGGTGTGTGAAGGGAGGAGGGACAAAAATGAACTCATTTTTAGCTAACTTATTTCAAGCTCATAGCTGTTTTATCTAGTTAACATTACAGACTTTTTAAAATAGAAAATTTCACATATATACATAAAAATAGAAAAATACAATGAACTAAATGTATCCATTAATTAGGTTCAACAATCATTAATACATGGTCAATGTTGTTTTATCCATACTTCTACCCACAACCACCTTAACATTCCTAATTGCTCTTTTATGAAATCCCAGACATCATGTCATTTGAAAATACACTGCAGTTATGTTTGAAGCTCCTTCATCTGTATTAAAGCAACTAAATAAAAGCTGTTTCTACACTGAAAACTACAATGGTCCCTCACAATTAGAATACTTAAATATCTACTTAACATAAACTAAAATGAAAGACCTTTCGTATTCTACTAATACACAGCAAGAAATAAAAATACCTACATAAGTCAATTTCACCAATCTCCGTTTTAAAATAAGTCAGATGATACATAAGTGCTTAAATAATTCCCAAGATAAAGTCAGCTCCTAAACATGTTCAAAAACCTTATGGAAGGTGAAAGTACTCACTGGGAGATAAAACCAATTCTTCTCTCCCCAATACTATTACTTCTAACCTTTCAAATTTAAAGACACAAAGTATTGTAGTTTGGACCAAATGGCACTTAAAGATAGGTTTATAATGAAATACAGTTTAGGAAGAAATAATCTTATATCTAGTTTCTAAATCCTCTCCTTTCCTTTCAGCTGAGTTGCCAACTCTCAGAGGAAACCCACCTTCCCTCCAAATCCCATTCCACTTATGTATGGGGACTTCTCTCCTGGATCTGAAATGGAAAAGGCTGGCACACACTCACCATTCTTTTTAACAGTATCAAGAGTAGGTAAAGCCTTAAGGTACATAAGAGTATATTAATCTAGGGAGTCCTTTTTCTTAAACCACAAATGTCCTCTACCCATCAAATTTAAAATCAGTGTCAATGATGGCACTGTTTAATACAAGAATATCTAGAGGGATGTGATAGAGCCAATGCTTTGTAAGTAAGAGATGAATATTTTTCAAACCCACAACAAGACAAAATAGGAACTTCTTTTTTTTTTTTTTTTGAGACAGATTTTCACTTGTTACCCAGGCTAGAGAACAATGGTGTGATCTCGGCTCACTGCAACCTCTACCTCCAGGGTTCAAGCGATTCCCCTGCCTCAGCCTCCCAAGTAGCTGGGATTACAGGCATGTGCCACCACACCCGGCTAATTTTTTTGTATTTTTAGTAGAGACAGGGTTTCACCATCTCAGGCTGGTCTCGAACCCCTGACCTCAGGTGATCCATCCGCCTCAGACTCCCAAAGTGCTGTGATTACAGGTGTGAGCCACCATGCCCAGCCAGGAACTCTTAATGAAAGCATCTGACTCATTTAACTGATTTTCATTTAACCAGCCTGGGTAGATTAACAGAAGCTTTCCAGGTCGTTGTAAAAGTTAGCTGTTTAAGCCCATGGTATACTAAAGTCTGCCCATTAGTAAGCTCCTCTTCAGTATGGCTATTTATTACTGCTTCCATTGGTTGGTATATGGTGTTAACCAACAGCCAGTTGCGTGTGTTTCCAAATAGATTTATACGAGTTACTATAACTAAGCATGTTAATTCAGTATTACATAAGCTAACAGAAAGTTGTACTGCCCCTGAAAATAAGCTGAACGCTCTGAAAAGACTAAAAAGTTGCTGCTGAATTACTGACAAGGCAAATATTTAAAAACAAGGGAGAAAATAGTGAAAATCTAGAATCCTATATACACTTAGGTTTTCCATAAACAATCAAAAAGTATTTCTTTACCTGTAAAAGTGAAACAAGAAATTATATCCCATGCATTATGCTAGGCAGAAAATAATAACTCCAAACCAGGCACCATGGCTCAGGCCTGTAATCTCAGCACTTTGAGAGGCTGAGGCAGGCGGATCACCTGAGGTCAGCAGTTCTAGACCAGTCTGGCCAACATGGTGAAACCCTGTATCTACTAAAAAGTACAAAAATTAGCCGGGCATGGTGGCGGGTGCCTGTATTCACAGCTACTCGGGAGGCTGAGGCAGGAGAATTGCTTGAATCCAGGAGGTGGGGGTTGCAGTGAGTCAAGACTGTGCCACTGTACTCCAGCCTGGGCAACAGAGACTGTCTCAAACGCCCTCACCCCACACACACAAAAAACAAAAAACAAAACAAAAAACCAGAACTCCAATCTGCACGCTCAAGAAAAAGTAGTGTCTGCAAATTAGTATCACTTGTTGATGCCCCATTTTAACGAACTCTGATTAAGCTAAGTTTAATTAGGCTCTCCTTTTATCCAGGGTCACTGGTTTCACTGGATGAGAGAGCTTTTACCATGATTACACCATTTTGAAAGCATTTAAGGCAATGAAAGTTTCCCCATCACAATTTAACATAAACCAATAAAAATTCCTAAGGAAATAATCTGTCATCTCTAAAAACGACACATTTACAAACAAAGTAAGCAAAACTGTTGTAATACAACTTACCAACAGTGGCTCTAATCAGAGGAGAGGAGTCACCAATATTATTTAAACATTCACTTTTAATAAAGTCTGTTACACCATTTGGGAAGTTCTGAAAGTGTGCTTTCACATTATTCTTCAAGATGAGACCACTCAATGATCTTGTGGGTTCATCTGTAATAAAACAGTAATAGTATTGAGTTTTGAAGTAGTCTTAATTTCAAAATGTGCCGATAACAGTAGTTTTAAAAATACTTATATTCAAAAGTTGACTGACATTCAAACTTGCTATAACCAGTTAAAATAATTATAACTGATTAACAAAAGATTAGTGTATGATTTATAGCTCAGTGTTTTTCAACCTTGACATACTGACAATTATTTGTTGCGGGGTGCTGTCCTGTGCATTTTAAGATGTTAAGTAGCATCATTAGCCATAGATACCAGCAGCACCCCTCCAAATTGTGTTAACCAAAAATGTTTCCAGATAATGTCAAATGTCTTCTGGGGGTTAAAATTGCCCTTGGTTGAGAACCACTGATTTAGTTTGAGTTAATTTAGTTTACATATATGGCCACTGTGCTTGAGCTTTATTGTTTCCTGATATAAACATCATTATAGAGCTGGAAGTATTAGTCATTAAAAACATCCAATTTTTTTTTTTTTCGTTTAAGGGCTGGGCGTGGTGGTTCATGCCTTTAATCCCAGCACTTTTGGGAGGCCAGGAGTTCAAGACAGTCTGGCCAACATGGTGAAACCTTGTATCTACTAAAAACCCTCAAATTAGCCAGACATGGTGGTGTGTGCCTGTAATCCCAGCTACTTGGGAGGTGGACGCAGGAGAATCACTTGAACTCAGAAGGCAGAGGCGCCAAGATCATGCCACTGCACTCCAGCCTAGGCGACAGAGTGAGACTGTCTCAAAAACAACAAAAAATTTTTTTGAAATCATTTTCCTCCAATGTCAAAAAATATAATATTGGAAAAATTAAGTGGACAAAGAATATATAAGATCATCTTCATGTAACAAATATAATTGCTGTTAATTTATATCATGTTTTTCATTTGCCTCTGAACTTAAAAGCAAAAAAAAAAAAAAAAAAACTCCAAAAACATTTAAAGAGTTTCCTTAAAATAAGTTTAATCCATAGATAGTATTTACAAAATTTCAAAAAGCAACTTAATACTAGCAGAACATAACTGATGGCTTTACCAGTTGGCATCAACACCAACAATATTAGCAATAGCTAACATCTTCATTAAACACTGCTAAGTGCTTTCCAAATGGCATTGCACTTAATCCTTACAACTTCATGAGGCAGGTATTATTCATTCCATTGCGCAAGTGAAGAAGCTAAAGACTTTGAATCATTCTTCAGTATTACCCTCCTCTCAAAGGGCTATAAGATGAAGAGCTGGTGTGTTGAAGAGAATGTTATTTTAACACCATTGTTTTACCTGTCTTCTTAAAAAATAATATATTCCAAGCTTGTTCTAGTTAGTATGATGTTCCCAAACTCTGACTGGCACTGAAATCTTCAAGAGTGAAGCACATTTAGAGGCAAAAAGAGCATTTTCTCTGCACACAACTCCGCTCAGGTCATCACAGCACTATAAAACCTTGTATGTCATCATTTAAAAACTACTTTCCATTTTCAATTACAACCCATTCCAATGAGTAATTTAAAAGGAAACAAAACATATTTTTAAATTCTCTTAAAAGTTAAAAATTGCCATGAAATAAATGAAGTCAGATATTTAACTTCTTCAAGCAATAAACTTGCCTTAAATTACCTGTTAATAATTCAGCCATATAATTATTTTATTTTATTTATTTATTTATTTTTTGAGACGGAGTCTCGCTCTGTCGCCCAGGCTGGAGTGCAGTGGCCGGATCTCAGCTCACTGCAAGCTCTGCCTCCCGGGTTTACGCCATTCTCCTGCCTCAGCCTCCCGAGTAGCTGGGACTACAGGCGCCCGCCACCTCGCCTGGCTAATTTTTTGTATTTTTTAGTAGAGACGGGGTTTCACTGTGTTAGCCAGGATGGTCTCGATCTCCTGACCTCGTGATCCACCCACCTCGGCCTCCCAAAGTGCTGGGATTACAGGCTTGAGCCACCGCGCCCGGCCCATATAATTATTTTAAATGGCATGACTTCGTTTACAAGAAATATAGCATATTGTTTTTACCATAAAGGTTATATGATGAAGAGTTTTAATAAACCACAAAATGAAGTGAAACAATTCAATATGAGAAGTATATACTCTCTTAAAATCCATTTTAAAAATTCAACGACTAACGATTTCCTTTGTTTTAAAAAAATTAAGACTATTTCAGTGGACCCTCAATTTGTTCACTTGCAAAGTGAGAGAATTAGAGCAGCTGATCTGAGGGCTCTTATAGATCAAAAATTTTACTCTACAATTCAGTGATAAGATTGCTAAACAAGCATTTTTCATTTAAGATGTTACTTGTATTGCTGCTTTAATATGAACGGCCATGATGCAAAGGTTTTTTTAAAACAGAAAACTACATGCAGCAAACTTGTGTCCCAATCTTCCCAGGGAAAAAAAATAAATGCATAAACGCAAGAAGAAATATCAAGTGTTATACCAACGTAAAACTACTGCATCCTTGGAGAAACTGCATAATGAACATAAACACATTTTAGGTTCAAGAAAATCTGAAAAATATCCTTTCCAACATTTTATGGTTTTGTAATTAATGCTCTGTGAAAGCAATGGCTTCCAAACTCTCTTGCCACTACTGAACAAGTTGTATGTTTGTGTTTTTTTAAGTACTTCTGAAGCATCCCAGGCTGGGGTGCAGCTGCACAATCATAGCTCACTGCAGCCTTGACTTCCCGAGCTCAGGTGATCCTCTCACCTTAGCCTCCTGAGTATCGGGACCACAGGTGTGTGCCACCATGCCAGCTAATTTTTTATAGAGATGGAGTTTCACCATTTACTATGTTCCTCATCTTGAACTCCTTGCCTGAAGCAATCTTCCTGCCTTGGCCTCTCAAAGTGCTGGGATTACAGGCGTGAGCCACCTTGCCTGGCCTGAAGTATCCTTATATTCCAAGAAAGAGCCACCTTGCCTGGCCTGAAGGAAGTATCCTTATAAGAAAGCTTCACTCAAGAGTATAATATTGCAACAATCCTAACATTTAGAATGTAGGATGAGAACATGAGAGTGGACAGCTTAGTGAAAATAAATAAAAATTTCAAATAAAACAATTACAGATTTTAAAAATCCATTTATAAAATCTTAGTAAAGAAACAAACAGGTTGATCACAAACTGTGTCAGAAAAATTTCTATATTAAGAAGCAATGTATCACAAATATATTTATCAAACTAGGAATATTAATTGCTGAAAGAATTCTTAGTGTCTTAAAACCTAGACTTACGAGTTCTCGATTTTCTATTGTGTCCTTCATTCACAAATTAAAATCCCCCAAAATTAACTACAAAATCAACTGAAAATAATTCAAAAGAAATTGCTGTGTATGAATTATGAAAATCTGAATACAGGATCAGTGAGATTTTTACTACACATTAACACCATTAACCTGTCAGAATTTGGAGCTAAAACTTTACAGATGGTCTGGTTGTCTAAAACTTGTTATTTCCCAATTCCAAGAGCATGGATTTTATTAATTGCACCATAGCTTCTAAAACACTAATCACTGAATAGGGTACAGTGCTTTCATTTAGAGGCCAAACAGATGCTCAATAAATATTTAATTGACTTCTAGGTGTCCACAATGTTTCAGGAAGGGAATACCCAAATAATGCTACCAGAAACAACTCTCACTACAATGTAAGCTCCTTGAGGGCAGTGAGTTTTGTCTGTTTTGTTCACTTTTCTCTCCTGAGCCTGCAAATTGCATGGCAAAGAGATGGTGCTCCATAAATATTTATGAAATAATGTCTAGTGGGATACATTATGTATTATCAGAAATAATCAAATGACCATGTTATTTAATAATCAGACTACTCAGGCTTTAAACTGTCATATAAATAATTTAAATTTAAAATTAAGAGTCATGAAAAAGTTTCATGTATACTGTTAGAAGTTTCTTAAAAACTTACAAAAGCCTACTTATGAATAGAATGATCCCACTTTCTGCTAAATAATTTTAAAATAGTATGTGGCCATATAAGAGCAGAGAAGGACAGAATTCAAGAGATCAACAATAATTATCTCTGGAAGATGCAATAATTTTTCATTTTGATTATATGACCTTTCAATTTTTTTCTACAATAAACACACATATATTCAGTTATTAAATCCTACATTCAATCTTTGTATTACAACCTTTGTTATATCCATCTATATGTATGGAAGCAAAACATTAGACTTTGCAACAAGTTTTTTATCTGCAAAGAATTAAGTAACTTATTATACAAACACCCAATTAAAAATGAATGCTGGCTGGGCACAGTGGCTCACACCTGTAATCCTAGCACTTTGGGAGACTGAGGCAGGCAAACCCCCTGAGGTCAGGAGTTCAAGGTTAGCCTGGCCAACAAGGCAAAACTCTGTCTCTACTAAAAATACAAAAAAATTAGCTGGATGTGGTGGCGCATGCCTGCAATCCTGGCTAATAGGGAGGCTTAAGCATAACAATCGCTTGAAGCCGGGAGGCAGATGTTGTGGTGAGCCAAGATCGCACCACTGCACTCCAGCCTGGGTGACAGAGTGAGACTGTCTGTATACATAAAAACAGGAATGCTTATTAAGCATGTAAATATTGAGTGGTATTAACTAAGACTGTTCATCCCACATGTATAAAGCACATGGTTACTACAAAATGAAATTATTTGAAATGAATAATTCTCAGTACATTTAAATAGGTCTTAAAGAAACTTTAGTTATCAATGCAACTCCTACTTACCTTCAGATTTTAATTTTGTAAGAACAAAAATCAAGTAGTTGTTAAAGTCTGGATATTGATTAAGTTGTTCCAGTTTCTAGAACAAACAGTAGTTAAGGAAACTTGTCTGTGTAATCTCAGTGAGAAATTAAGCGTTTTTAATGTAACAATCAAGGATCTCTTTGGTGATATTTTCAGTCCTGCATTTTTTTTTTTAACTAAGGCTAAGGATATCTTATCAAATCTATCAACGTGCTATTTCAAAAACACACTGGTGCTTGCTAAACCTCTTAGGTGCTTTATGGCTGAAATGTATCAATTACATGCAATACAACATAAGAAAGTGCCAGCTTCAGCATGCTCAATATAGCAAAAAATATTCAAAAAAATTCTTAGATTTCAACTTCAAACCACTCTAAACAGAAAGGCATTTAAGTAAAAAATGACAAAAATAAAAGCATTCCAAGTGAAAACAAGTCTCTCAGAGTTAAAGATCATTTACAGAAATTAACTTTATAGAATAACTTAAAAAAAAACTTTTCAGACTCATTTGTTCTTTAGAATCCAAAAAGATAAAGTGCCATTTATGCACCAGGTTATATATCTTACCATAAGGTCAGCATTATGAGATTATTGCACTACAGTTGTACAATTATTCCCCTCATCCCCAAGATTTAACATTTCCAGTGACACCAACTTGCAGGTATTTCATCGCTATCAGGAGGCAGCTGTGACAAAATGCTCTATTACATCTTTCTTCAAGCCCTGACTCCCAACCCCTAACTAATATGCTTCCCAATTGTGTTTTACTACACAGAAAGATTAAAATGTTTTTACCCAACAAACCTAAACTTCTGATTAAATCCATGAATCAAACTTCAGCAACTTTATTAGCTATTTATTACATACTTGAATACCCTCAATGTTTAGGGGTCAGAATGTAAACGAACCAACAACATAGCCTCTAGTAAAATTCCAAAGTGTAACCACTTTCTCCAACCCAGACAGTAATTCTTGTTTCAGTGAATGGCCAAGACTAACAGCATGCTGATATGCCGATGAATTTTTCAAAACTATTTCCTGATAAGGTTTACCTTCTTACAACTTGAGCTACATCTCTTTATCCTATTATAGTGGTCTTTCAAAAAGTACTCAAAAGCCTATACGAAACAATAATTAAATATATTATCTTCTTAGGAGAGACAAAATAAGGTACTCTGAAACAGCAGTATATATTTTTAGCTGAAGTAGTTTTCCTCTCACAGCAACAGAAAGTTGTTCTTTCTCAGAGACATGCTAAGTTCCAGGCACACGGAAGAAACTGTAATTGACTACCAGCCCAAGCACAGTACTGAGCATCTGACGTGCCTAATAAATGTAGACTGAAACAAGAAATTATGATATATGGTGCCACAGAATAACTGCAATGCAGGACTGAGCTTAGCTAATTTAAGAAAGTAGTAATTGTATCATATAATACCTGTAATTAATCAACTATCAACTTCTATCATCCCTAGAACTATGACAACACAAATTAAGACTAAGCCATAGCAGGGTTTACAAGACACAAACGGCAATACACTCCGAAACTGTTCTTTCCTCAGTATACTAGAAGTATCCAAACAAAATGGCTTTAAAAAATCCAAGCAGATCTAAATCATTATCCCTTCCACTTTTAAATGGGAAGTATTATATTAACCAAGAAGGTACGTACTAATTTTATCTATTGAAGGTTTTAAGTTACGGCAATGCAGTATTTCTGCGAAACCCTCGGGGTAAATAACTTCATCTTTATAGATGTTTTGAATATAAATAAACTCAAACACGAAGAGCTTACTTACCAAACTCCATATTAAGTAATTTTGCTGCTTATTGACAATAAATATCAAGAGGCTTTTCTGCAAAAAACAGTAGACTTAACTTCTTTAGGCTTAAAAGATCGGGGGTTAAAATATTATTCATGATATAATGAGTGAATGTTTCCTTTACTGGATCCATTAAGAGCTCTCCATTTGAGCACGGTTTAGGGCACTACAGAAAGCATACCTAGTTGAGTTTTGGTTCTCTTAACCTTTTCTGTCTGTAAAACCGTAGCAACAGGATCACTACACCAGCACACTCGGTAAAGACCTAGATAATTGTGCAGTCAGCCTCGAGCCAAAGCTTTAAAAAGAAAATCTCATTTGGGTGACAAGGAGCTCGCAACAGGTGTTAACACCAGTAACCCCAGGGTGAGGCACAGAGACCCTTTCCCCCCACCTGTAGGTCCCCGGCCTCTTTAGGGCAAGGACGTGGGAAAAAAACCCCAGGACCCACACAGCTGCAGTTCAAACCCCGCGCCAGCTCCACCCATTTCTGGCCAGTCAGGCGGCGAACTCCGCCGCGCACAGAGCGCCCTCCACCCGGCCTCCCGCTCGGCCCGCCGCCCCCACCCGCGGGGCGCATTGTGTGGGCCCCGGCCGCTCCCGCTCGCTCGCTCCCTACCCCCGCGGCAGGTCAGCGGCGGGCGGGGACGTGGCGGTCCGGCCCGCGCACATGTAGCGATCCCGGGCGGCGGCCGGGGGCCCCCGCCTCCCGCGGGCCGGAAGCCGGGGGCCTCCGCAGCATGAGCCCCACGCGGCGGCGCCCCCGGCCCAGGCACCAGGGCCGCGTGCGCTAGTCGCCCGGCAGGGGTAGCGACGGCTTTCCCCGCGCGCGGACCCAGGCAAAAGGCCGGCCTCGGAGAGCGGGGGAGGGGCAGAGGCGGGGGCGACTGGAGCCCCCGGCCGCCGGGAGCTGGGCCGCAGCGCGGGGCGAGCTGCCCGGGTGGCGGCCAGGCCTCGGAAAGGATACTTGTTGCACGGTTCTCTGGATGGTGGTGTCTGGGGACTGGGACTCCTTCAACAGCTGCAAGATTTGCTGAAGCCCTTGCTCGTCAGGTTTCCACTCATACTCCATCTTGGTTTGCTGCAAATAAAGCCAGACACAGGAAGAGACGGAGCAAATGTTACTCCCGGTGCACAGGCCCGGAGGCTTCCCGCGCGCAGCGGACCCGTTCTCCCAGCCACCACAACCCCAGCGCTCCCCAGACGTCGCGGACCTGCCTGGGGTGCCCCGAAGGAAGTCTCGGACAGTGAAACCCGGCGGAACTGCTCCTGGCAGCCCGGCCGCCAACGTCTGCTGCTGCTGCCGCCGCGGCCGCCGAGCGCAAGCAGCCGACCAGACTGAGTCACCGCGAATTTGCAATCTGGCCCCAAGATCCGCTCACGGGAGCCCCCTGGGTCCTAGTGCCACGCAGTTTTCTCCAACCCAACCCATCTCTAATTCCGTCCAGAAGATTACTACTGACTTAAGGGCTAATAAAAAGTCAAGTCCTTATCAAAACCCATGCGAAACACCTGAAGAGATCTGTTTTTGGTATATTATTTTACATACACATGGCGAATTAACGCAAAATGATTGAAATAGGGTAAAAAGGTGGTTAATTTCCCTGACAGTTCAGCAATAATTAGAAGCAATAAAAATGTTTACAATTCAATTTGATATATAAAGCACTAAAAAAGTCTAAAATATTGATGCAGTCACAACCCACATCTCGAAAACCATTAAATGCAACATCTGCAGAACCTGACTAAAAAAAAATGTATTCCCGCATAAACTTCAACTTTTGAACTCCTATTAAGTGAAATAAATTCCATTATGAACTAACTACATTCCATAAGTAAGGACTTTGGGTCGAAGAAAATACAAGAAAAATAATGTAATTTTACAACTGGGTAGTGTTTAATTCCATTAAAGTATTTTCACATACTACAGTTTCTCATTTGATTCTCATTACAACCTAGTGAGGTATTATTTGCCTCGATGTGGCAACTAAGGCGAAAAAAGATCTGAGCAAACAACCACACTTAATCAGTGAAGACTGAGACATGAATATAGGTTTTTAAAGCTACTATGAGTTGCATCTGCTACAGTCAACTGAAGCTATTAATGACATTTTTCACTAAAACTAAATGCTTAAAAACAACAAAATGTAAGTATCAAGCATGACTTATTTGTAAAAATCAAACAGTTTGATAAAGGAGAGGATTTTTAACATGAAAAGTCCCTTGCTAGTAGGGTTTAGACAAACTACTACCTTTTCACCTCTCTAGTTAGCTTTTTCTTTCTTTTTTAAAATGCCTTTTCCTCTCTTTCACTCTTATTTTTCTGCTTAATATCCTGTAGTCTGACTTTGCTCACCAAGTTCTAATGACTTCATAAATGGCCCAATCTAATAAACTGTTCTTTTTTTTTTTTTTTTTTGAGACGGAGTCTCGCTTTGTCGCCCAGGCTGGAGTGCAGTGGCCGGATCTCAGCTCACTGCAAGCTCCGCCTCCCGGGTTTAGACCATTCTCCTGCCTCAGCCTCCCGAGTAGCTGGGACTACAGGCGCCCACCACCTCGCCCGGCTAGTTTTTTGTATTTTTAGTAGAGACGGGGTTTCACCATATTAGCCAGGATGGTCTCGATCTCCTGACCTCGTGATCCGCCCGTCTCGGCCTCCCAAAGTGCTGGGATTACAGGCTTGAGCCACCGCGCCCGGCCAAATAATAAACTGTTCTTAAAAAAAAAAACCCAAAAAAAACCCACCACCATCCAGATATACAATGTATTAATGCTGTAGTGTTTTTATTCTAGTCTTCATTCTATTTTTTATGTACATTATATTTTATAATAATGGGACTGTCCTGTTTCTTGCCTGACTTCATATATCATTAAATATTTATTGAAAATATTTCAATAAAAAGTTAATAGTATTCCATTGTACCACTATGTCATCATTTATTTTTATATACTTTTATTTGATACAATATAGACACAAAATTGTACAAATGATAAGCATATAATCCATAGATGGATTTTTACAAAGTGAACCCATCTGTGTAACCAACACCCAGTTCAAGATAGAGATCGCTGAGTATGAAGAGGTTTCTTTTGTGTCCAATCCCAGCCATCAACCCTTCCCAAAGTAATCCCCAGTATAATTTCTATCACTATAGATTTCTCCCCTTCCCTCTCTTAACTTCAGAAACTTTTAAAAAACTACAAATATTATAATAAATCAAACAACATGGTTGTATAAGACAAGTTAATTCAATCCTATCTCCAGGCTCCCTAAAGAATCTGTTTTATCAGTTTTATGTGAATCTTTCTACAGTCTAATCTCATATATATGTTTTCCTCTTTTTTTTAAAGATCATCCTCCATACTACACTAATATTAACTCTACAATGTTTTTTACACATAATATGACATGGCCATAATTCCAGGCCAATACACACAAATTTAACTCACCTTTTAACAGATGCACATTGGTCTTGAGAATGGATAGAGCATAATTTGTTCAACCATCTCCTGATTGGCTTCCAGATTGCTTCTACTTTTTTGCCACTACCAACAACACAGTAAAAAAATTCTTGTACCAATGTCCCTACATAATAGTGGCAACCTGGCAGGGTTATTAGGCCAAAAAGTATGTGAATTTAAAAATTTTAAACAGTTACTACCAAATTATTTTCCAAAAAGTTATACAATTCACACATGCCAACAATATGAATGTTTTCTTTATCTCCACCAGCACATTCTTTGAATTTTCATGAAGCTAACCAATGACAATTTAATTTCCCCTGATACTAGTGGGGGTGGGGAACTTAAAGTCTGAGCCTTAGTAATATTAGAGTTGGAGCTGCTACCAGGCATACCCTACCTGCTGAGGTGACATTCAGATAGCCCACTTAACCCCCTAGCTGCCCTTTTATTTTTTTATTTTTTTTTATTTTTTATTTATTTATTTTTTTTGAGACGGAGTCTCGCTCTGTCGCCCAGGCTGGAGTGCAGTGGCGCGATCTCGGCTCACTGCAAGCTCCGCCTCCCGGGTTCACGCCATTCTCCTGCCTCAGCCTCCCGAGTAGCTGGGACTACAGGCGCCCACAACCGCGCCCGGCTAATTTTTTGTATTTTTAGTAGAGACGGGGTTTCACCGTGGTCTCGATCTCCTGACCTTGTGATCCGCCCGCCTCGGCCTCCCAAAGTGCTGGGATTACAGGCGTGAGCCACCGCGCCCGGCAACTGCCCTTTTAAAGAAGAAACTAAAACAAGGGACCAATAGCAGTCCAGTCTGAAAGGCATCTTCATTATCACATCCATCCTGAGGATGGCTGCACCATAATATCAGGCCAATAGCGTGCTTCCTTCTTTATTTCTGTCGTCAAATAGGGTTTTCTTTTCAAACAGCTTAGTATTAAGAACATTTAATTTGATCAGCCTATGATGACAGAATAGGTGTTTCCCCACACCTTACTCAAATTATCTGTAACAAAAGGCTCTTAAGAATATTTGATTCAGATAACTGCTTGGTAAGAGATCTTAGGCCACTTTGAACTTTTCTATCACATCTTTTTAAAAATTGTGATAAAATCTACATACATAACATATACCATTTTAAGTATACAGTTCAGTGGTATCTATCTCCAAAACTTACTGTATTTTAAAAACCATTAAAATAAGGAAGAATCTTATACCCTGGGCTAGCCAGACATTACAGGGTTAATTAGATAACATCTGAAGTACTTCAAGCTAACCAAGGACATTAGGATTATTATATGAAGTAGAAATCATTTATTTAAATAGCAAACTACATTTATATTAATTAAATAGAATAATTAATCAATCCAATCAATATTGGATTTTCTTATAAAATTTAAATATTACCTGGAGTATTCTTTTTGCATGTTGAAGGCTCAGCTTTCTAAATGTCTCAAAAAAAGGAAGTAGTACTTCAAATTTCGCTCCTTTAGATGATACTCCATACTACACTAATATTAATTTTACAACTTATGCCTGATTGGCCCATGACATTCAATGGTGACCAAAAAAAAAAAAAAAAAAAAGGCATTTAAACAAGCCAAAATACAGTTATTTGAAAAACAAGATAGAAGACAGCCCTAAAATAAAAAGTAGCCTGCAAGTGGTGAGTTACTGTGATACCATTTTGGACTTCCAGAAGACTAGAGCTTACTTATGAGTAAGTTTTTAACTTAAATTTACATAAAAATTTTGAATTTGCTACAGCTCAGAATCATGTGAGGTAAAGAAGCCGGATTGGCTGAAAAGAAAGTAAAAATATATAGCATCTTCCTTGCTGGATACTCTGTAAAATATAGTTTAAAAAGCAGACTGGAGATGTGGACTCAACTGACCTACGTTTGAAGTCTAGTTCTTCCACTTGGTAGCAGTGAAAACCTGGGCAAGTTAATTCATCTGAGTCTTAGTTTCCCAACCCTAACATAGGAATACACTACCTCTGTATGCAGATCATAGGTACCTGGCACACAATATATGTAATTTGAAAAATAATAGTTAAATGAAAGGCTTTCTAGCATCTGCAAGATAAAATATAACTTCTTTTCATGGAAGAAGTCTCTTCATGATCTGGTTCATTACCTTCAGGGACATTTTTATCTATGACTCAACCTCCAACTTTATGCTCCATCATCTTTTCCTGCACCTCTCCTACCTCTGAGCCTTTGCATAGGGATTTCCTGCTGGGAACGCCCTCTTTAAACCTGACCAATTGGCAAACTCCTTCTCACTCTTTTTTTTTTTTTTTTTTTTTTTTTTGAGACGGAGTCTTGCTCTGTCACCCAGGCTGGAGTGCAGTGGCCGGATCTCAGCTCACTGCAAGCTCCGCCTCCCGGGTTCACGCCATTCTCCTGCCTCAGCCTCCCGAGTAACTGGGACTACAGGCGCCTGCCACCTCGCCCGGCTAAGTTTTTGTATTTTTAGTAGAGACGGGGTTTCACTGTGTTACCCAGGATGGTCTCGATCTCCTGACCTCGTGATCCGCCCGTCTCGGCCTCCCAAAGTGCTGGGATTACAGGCTTGAGCCACCGCGCCCGGCCTCCTTCTCACTCTTTAGAGCTACCC